TGGGGAACAATTTTGATAGGGGTCCAACCACCCGGTTGTTATGATAACAACCGTAATAAATAATAATCCTGGGCTTTGACCCACGTCTTCGAGACGTCTCAAAGGCGCTCCGGAGGCGGGGATGCACCGCAAAGTGAAGTGACTGTACCTTCTTTTGTGCGCGCGTGTGTGTGTGTGTGTGTGTGTGTCGGGCGAACGTAATACAACGAAGACGTTGGGTCGAATGCAAAGATTATTATTATTATTATTATGATTATTGATGATAAGATTAATACTTTGGCTGATTTGCTCTCTCCCCCATTCGCCAGCGCCCCCCAATGGCAAGGCAGGAGTTAGCAACGTTGGCTCGACGTTCGAGGACAATTTTGCCCTTAAACCCAACATTTTTCACGTCTTTAACCTCTCAAAAGAGTCTGACATTTTTTTGGGGGGGGGAGGCGGGGGATGGGGGGGGGGGGGGTGGGGTGGGGTGGGGGGGAGGTGGGAGATGGGGGGGGGGGGTTTCACAGGATTTACCATAAAGTCAAGTGACTGGGTATTTTGTAAGGGAAATGCAGCAGCCAATTTGCGCACAAGGACATCCTCACAAACAGCTAAGAGAGTCCTGTAGCGTAGAGGTTGGCGAGCGAGAGGCCCCGGGTTCGATTCCCGGGCGGGTCAGGTCAGGGCGAAACTTTAGGCGAGTTTCCTTACTCCACACCCACACACACACCCACACACACACCCACCCACACCCACACACACCCACCCACACACACACCCACACGCGCGTCTCTGTTTACCAGCAGTCAGTAGGAACCCGCTTGTTGGTCGATTGGCGGATCGCTTTGGGGGGGAAACGGTAATAATCCCTTCAGAATAATAATACTTTGGCCACTCGATCCCCGACTGTTTGTGGGACACAAGATCAACAGTCACTGCCCTTTACGGTATACTCAGTGAGGTGCTTTGAGACGTCTCGGCGAGAGCAGCCCTGAAGTCTGGAGGGATTATTATTCGAGAACCGGAACCGATTCCAACGGGAAGGCAAAGAGGAGAGACATTCCAGTCTGAACCCAATGAACGGAATGTGTTCCCTTGTGTTATTTTTTTTCCCGGAAACAGAGATAAGCAGGAAAAAGGAGTCCTTCCTTAATTAAAATTCTTACTTAATGGACGCAGAGTTGGCTGGCAAGTCTCCCCCCGTCTCTCTCTCTCTCTCTCTCTTTTTCCTGCCCACGACGTTAAGGGCAACAAATGTCTTCTTCAAACGCCTCAATGGTTTAGGCCAAATAATAATCATTTGGTCACTCAATCCACGGCTGTTTGTGGGGACGCTGCTGTGCGCGATTAATTGGCTGCCGCGTTTCGCCCACAAAATACACAGTCACTCCACTCGACAGTGTCTCCTGTGAAGCGCTTTGAGACGTCGCGAGGACGTGATGCAAAGCCGAGCCCCTTACTTTGTGATCAGTAATCAGCAAACAAGACTGGGAAGATATCCACCTGTATCCCAAACAGTGACCATCTTTCCTTGGGAGGGAGGAAGGGGAAGAGAGAGAGAGAAATGATACCTCCTTATTGAGGTTGGTTGAGGTTGACCAGTGATGGTCCAGAGATGGGGACAAGGAGATGGGAGGCAGGAGGTTGTGTTAAGAGAATGTATGTGTGTGTGTGTTGTGTGATTGACAGACATCCTCTTGTGATGAGATCGATTCTGGAATCAATTGTCTACGCTGTCACCTGGACGACCCAATAGAGAGTTTTGCAAGGAGTTGGGTCTCTCTCAACCCGTTGGAAATCTCCCCCTTGTGTCTACTTTAGTGCTCCTTCCCTCAGTCTCGTCCATCTCATCTTCCTGAAACCAACCCAACTCAATCTTTGCTCATTCTCTCTCTCTCTCTCTCTCCTTCTCTCTTTCCAGTCTTGTCGGCCATCAGCAGGAACTGATTACAAGCGATCAGAGTAAAGTTTTACCAGGAGATAGATATTCCTAAACCGTACAGGGAGTCACTGACTGACTTGAAAGGTAGTCTGAGGTAGGATGTGAGATAATAGTTCTTTATTGACCTCAACACAGACAGACGCAAGACAGACACACGTGGAAACCAAACAAGGAAGAAATTTCACTCTATTAAGTCACATTTTTTTTTAAAAACATCCAGGATTTGGCAAATTTGTTGATTTTAATGTAAAGCCGTAACTTTAAAGTCACTATTTCGTTTCCTTAAATGGGCTTCGGGATTTACGGCGGCTTTTAATTTTGTACTCCGTGTAAAAAAAAAAAAACACACGGTGCATTATTATAATTGTTAGTGTTAATAATACTACCACGGTTCACAAGAAGAAAACAGCGACAGAGCGATAATCCTCGCATTTGACATCGCGCCTTATCTGGAGCCAAGCGGGAATTTCGCCCTTAAAAGCGTGCAGAGAAAATGGGAACCAAAGATATGGGAATGTCCTGATAGACTGCCCATCCATCCTGGACCACACACACACACACACACACACACACACACACGGGGGGGCTTTGGCTTGCGGGGGTTGAGGTCGTGTCTATTTCCCCCCTTATTCCCCACATCCAGGGAACCGTATTTCACACCAATGGAACCACAGCCCATATCAGTGGAACCGTACCCGATCCTATGTTATATAAAGATATATATATTGCTGTCTATTTTTCATGCAGGATGGAGTCAAAAGGCAACAAGGTCACGGCTGACGTAAGTGCTGTTTGGCTCTGCGATAACGCTCACGATTATAATTAATAATAATCATCATCCTTGGTGACTGAAGACCCTCCTCTTCGACCGTGCCTCCAGTCAGCTCCCCTCTCCCCCAGGCTCCACCGCCGTCAAGGGCTCCGAGACGCTGTCCCGCAATGAGGGCTGCTGTTGCTATATATAGATGCACGTTGTTGTTGTTGTTGTTGTTGATGATGTCGCGGTTTTCTGGAAGAACGCGTTAGATATGGACCAACTTCAGCTGAATCCCTCTCAACAGTAATAATAATAATCCTTGAGTCTTATCCAGCGCCTCATCACGTGGTTCAAAGCGCTTCGCAGGATACACTGTAAAGTGCAGTGACTGTGTGTGTGTATACAGACAGTTGCGCACAGCACCGTCCCACGAATAGCCGTGGATGGCGTGATTTTTTTGGGGAGGAATTATTACCCCCGGAAAAGCGATCCGCCGATCGACTAACAAGCGGGTTCCTACTTAAAGCCGGATAAACAGAGATGTGTGCGGAGTAAGGAAACTTGTCCAGTGTTTCTCTCTGGTGGGTGGGTGGGAAAGCCACAGAAATCTTTGTCCTGGGCTAGGAAAACAGGCTCGATGGACTGAATGGCCTCCACCTCTTCCTGCATTTCCCAGATATTCTGCTCATCCCATTATTTTCGTTTTTTTTTCTTTTTAGCAATTGTTGAAAACGATCAAAGTGCAGGGGCCAAAGTACGGGAATTGGGAACTAAAGATCCGGGCGACATTCGATTTGATCTGTCGCAATAAACCCTACCTGGAGGGAGAGGTCGAAGATGTCTTCAGCACCGATCCCGGGTTCTACTTCCTAACGTTCAACAAGGTGAAAGGTACGGAACCAATTAATGGGAGAACATAAGGATTTGCTGGACCGAGAAGACCAAGGGCCATCCAGTTCGTCTTCCCCCATCCATCCTGGCCTTCGCTTGACATGTCGTGTCCCCAAACTATCTCCTGTATCTATCCCCAGGTGTTAATAACAATAATAATCCTTGTATTTGACCCGGACCCTTATCATGTCTTCAAGACGTCTCAAAGCGCTTCCCGGGATACACTATCAAATCCGTTTTGTGGGCGAAACCCGGCAGCCCAATTGCGCACAACAGCGTCCCCACAAACAGTGGTGGATTGAAGGGACCGACTTATTTATTTGTTGTTGTTATTATTATTGTTGAAGGAATTTATTTCCCCCGGAAACGCGATCCGCCAGTCGACTCAGGGCTCGAGATATTATTTACCGGCGGAAACCGATCGAATTTGTTCTTGAAACAAACGGCATTTTCTCCTTCCTTCCTTCCTTCCTTCCTTCCTTCCTTCCTTCCTTCCTTCCTTCCTTCCTTCCTTCCTTCCTTCCTTCCTTCCTTCCTTCCTTCCTTCCTTCCTTCCTTCCTTCCCGAGAGAACCTGTTCAATACATTTCCTCGCTCGCTCACTGAAGGAGTGTTTCCGCTCCCAATTTGTTCCGGATCTGCCTGCGCAAGTTCAAGTTGTTGGGGTCGGTGCGTGGAATTCTCGATCTAGTTTGACGACGCTTCGTTACGCCCTCGGTTACCGCCACCCCGCGTGAGTGGCGCTTTGTCATCGCAAGCTGCTGTGGCGTTGGTACGTTTCTGCCGTCGTACGGATCAATAGAAAAAGAAGACAGTCGGAACTGTTAGAATCGTTGAATTTGCCTCTGGTGAGGTTTTTTGACCCGTTTCTTAATCTATTTCTTCCTCTCGATCCAGTCGCCAAGGAGTTTCTAAGCATGAAAACTGTCAATGTGCCCGGCTACGGGCTTGTGGAGGTGCAAGTCCCTACTGTTGATGACATGTTGATCTCCAGTATTGAAGACCTGGTAAAGCTCAGAAATCTTCTCCTTGACGTCCTAAGGTCCCAGTGGAGGGCACTTTGGTTGCTCTCCTCTCAACCCATCCCCACGCCAACAAACCATCGTTAAACCTGCCCGTAATATAGGCTCCGTGAGCCCTTCACCCACGGACCCCACCCCCATCCCTCGCACATCCTCGCCCGGCTCCACTGTCTCCCCGTCTCTCCACCCAGAGGATTCTCCTGTAAATCCCTCCACCGCCTTGCCCTCTTGCCCCCACCCTGACCTGCTTAAGCCCTCCCCAACCCGCCCGCTCCCTCCGCTCAGCACCCTCTGGAACCCATCCCAGATTCCCCTTGCCTGGCCACCTTCCTTCAAGGTCCGTCTCAAGACACTCTTTGACCAACCGGGCTTTCGATCATCCCTCTCCCGCTCTCCTCTCTCACCCTCCTCCCCTCCCTCCCTCGTGTGGAGGGCGCTGTTGTTGTTGTTGACTAAGAGCAGATTGGCCTCTCACTCTCCCATGTTCTTTCCCATGTCCCACCAGGAGCCAGACGTTTCTGCAGATAACTACACTTTGGCCCGTTGTGTGGAGATCATGTGGCTCCAACACCCGCTTTCCCTGATGGAGCCCAAGAACCTGTGCAAGAACCTCCAACGTGTCTTTAGCAAAAATTTCCCCGAAATTAAGCTCAAAGTGGACAGTGTCCTTGAGTTGCCATCAGGAAACAGCCTGGCTCACCTGACCAGTAAACTAGGTAACCTACGATAATAATAATAATAATTAATAATAATCCTTGCATTCGACACAGCGCCTTGTCGCTTCTTCGAGACGTCTCAAAGCGCTTCACGGGATGCACTGGAAAGTGGAGTGAGCTGTACAGTTTGTGGGCGAAAGGCGGCAGCCAATTGCGCTCAGCGGCGTCTCTGCAAACAGTCGTGGATCGAAGTGACCAAATTATCATTTGGAAACCCCCCCCACTCCCCATTTTTTGAAGGGATTATTACCTTCGGAAAAGCGACCCCTGCCAATCGACTAACAGCCGGGTTCCTATTTACCTCTGGTAAACAGAGGCGCGAGTGTGTGTGGAGTGAAGTCCCCAAACTTGGCTAAGATCTCGCCCCAAACCATCCAGGTCCTCGGGCTCTGACCACTGAGCTACGGGGACTCCACCTTTCAGTGCTTCCCTCGCAGACCACTTTATCTCCGTTGACTCTCTCTCTGTTCGCTCCTCAGCCGTGGATCATATCCTGGAGAAGGCCGCGAATTCGGTTTATTCCATTCAAGTCAAGTTCCGAATGGGGGAACCGAAGCTTCTCGACGAATCGAACGTCACCTTTCTCTCCTCGCTGGATGAGGTGAGTTGCTCTCGAGCGTGAGATTTGCGGCACAAACGACATTGCACGTCGAGAGTAAATGAAAACAGAAGTGGCTGGGAACACGCAGCGGGTCAGGCAGCGTCTATGCAGAGAGGAAAACACTGGGGAAATTTCCTTACTCCACACGCACACGCGCGCCTCTGTTTACCCGGCAGTAAGTAGGAACCCGGTTGTTAGACGATCGGCCGATCGTTTTTCCAGGGTGATAACCCCTTAAAAAAATAATAAATTGGTCACTCAATCCACGGCTGTTTGTGCGGACGTCGCTGGGCGCAATTGGCCTGCCGCGTTTCGCCCACAAAATATACAGTCACCGCACTTTACAGGATGTTCTGCGAAGCGCTTTGAGACGTCTCGACAACGTGATCGGGCTCTGTATCAAACGCAAGGATTATTATTATTAATTATTATCCGTGTACTTCTTCGCTTTCCGTTTCTTCTCAGATTTGGGACGAGACGTCCGTGATCATTGACCTTGACAAGATGCCAGATACTCTGAGACCTCAGGCTAAAGATCTGATCATGGCCAAGCACGTCCAATTCGACGAGAAGCTGAATAAAATCTCTGCCACTGGAGCATTCGAAGAGATACAAGAACTCCGCTGGGAGCTTCAGGGCTTATATTCCGGGAACGTCAGCCATCTAGAGCCAGTGAGTGTGCCGGCGGATACAAAGGACAACAGCGTGTTTGAAAGAGAGAGCTTCAACGAGTTGGACATTTCATCCTCTTCCTTCCGCCAAGAAAAGGGGATCAAAGTGATCCAGAAGGAACTCCCAGTGGATCAAAAGGACCTCAGGTTGGTTCTCCCACCTGGCATTGAGGGGAGGCCAGAGGAACTGTCAAAGGAGGAGGAGCTTGTGGTTGAAGCAAAGAAAGTTGGGATTGTCGAGGAGATTTCCGCGGTTGCTCTCAGGCCAAAGGAACCGACGAGGCAGAAGGTGGTTGTGGTTGAAGCAGAGAAGGTTCAGAGGTTACCTGCAGTGCCTCTGACACAAAAGAAACCGTCAAAGGAGGAGGTCCCTCAAGTTTCTCCGCTGCCACCAGCGAGCTGGGTTAAAGAAACAGCTCCAATGGTGATCAAGGGAATGCCATCGGAAACCCCTGTAGCAAAGGCGGCGACGGCTGTCGGAGACAAGACGATCAAAGATCAAGAGAAGGCGAGACCCACGGAAGACAAGACGGAAAAGGTATTCATTCCTTCTTTATCCTCATCGCCAACAAAGGCCAAAGAACCGCAGGAGCCGGCCGAGAGCACGGCCCCTACCGACGTCTTCCTCTTCGACCCCATCATCACCTCCTCGGGCTTTGACTTCACAAAGAAGATAGCGAAGAGGCAACTATTGCTCAGCAGCAGCAGAGGCGGACAGGGGGGCATCCCACTTACAATGCTGGAATATGACTACATCAACGAAGCGTACTCGGAGGAGATACAGTCCATCAGCGACAGGTTCAAAGTGGGCCTGACCCCGGAAATCATCCTGAATGTCCAGCCCACGCAAGATAATAAGGATCCCACGGCGGTGGAAGAGGCTCAGGAGTTGTTGATCAGCCTGGTGGAAGAGGCAATGCCGAACCTAGCGGAGAGCACCCTCTCCGTCTCGTTTGAGGAAACCCCCATCGTGCAGAAAGCTCTACCGGAGATACAGGCCAAGCACAAGAGGCTCGTGGCCAAGAAGCTCAAGGAGGGCTATTCTCTGGTCGGCCCCGTGGAAGAGATCAAGGACGCTCAAGATGAACTCATCATGGCCTTGAAGAAGGCGGAAGAAAAGCCCTTGTTAGAGATGGAGGGAACGTGCGATTTGCTGGAGAATGGCTTCGACATTTACCACAATTACTGGCAGATTCTCTTACTCAAACACGAGGTGGATTTGACCAACATCTCGATCCGTTACGACGTTGGCATTAACGTGCAGGACAGCTCCAACAACGAAATGAAGAAGGTCTCCATCAAGCAGTCGACAGGCACCTACAATATGTTGTGGCAGGCCCACGAGGCCTTCATCGACCTCTACCAGAGCGTGGCCACCAATGTGGCCAGCATGTCGTTGGAGAACATGAAGGACCTGGAGTACATGAAGATGATGGAGGATGAGCTGACCCACAAGTACAAAGGCCTGCTTTTCCTGGAGAAACCCGACGAGTTTACCCTGGTAGGACCTTACAGCGACCTGGTCAAAGCAGTGAACGACGTCAACAATTTACTCAACAGGAAGATATTCAAGGACATACCCAACGTGGACAAGTAGAACCTCCCCAAACGTTCTCTGCGCCAAGGCACACGATTAACTTTCCTTTCGCATTTTTCTTCGGCCGGCTCTGCCCCCGTCAATATCCGTCGCACATTGCAGAGGAAGAAGAAAGGTTCGACGAGGCAAATCTCTTCTCTCTTTTTTTAAAAATCTCAGTCCAGTTATTATTCTGCGATCGATCGATTTCGTCGATTAAAATTATATTCAAAAAAAAAAAACCCCAGAACCAACTTGAAGGTGGTATCATCGGTTGCTTGTCAGAATGGTAATAATCTTCGCCCTTGACCCGGCGCCTTATCGCGCCGTTGAGACGTCTCAAAGCGCTTCGCGGGACGCGCCGTAGAGCGCAGTGACTGCGTATTTTGTGGGCGAAACGCGGCAGCCGATGGCCACCACCAGCGATGTCCCCCACAGACAGTTATTATTATCGTTATTTTCTGAGAGGACCGGGGAGACCAGATAAAGAGGTGGAGGGGTGGGGTGGGGGCGGGTGGGGTGGGGATTGAGGTTGGGAGTTGCGGAGGTTAGGTCAGGGGTTGGGGGGGGGGGGTTTGGGGGTTAGTGGTTGAAGGCACGACCGCCGATGGTGGGCCGGAGAGAGTGGGGTGACTTGGGGGGGGGAGAGTGGCCAAGGTGACAGGTTGGCCTTCCCGGGAAATGTGACATTGGCGCAGTAGGTGGCACTGTTGTGAAGTTGGGGCAATATTCGGGAGGTTTATTACTATTTGTTTGGCATTTTACAGCCTCCAGAGCGTTTTGGCCAATTCTTTTGATTTTCGAAGCCCTTTTTAAAAAAACCACCAACAATAACGATGACGATCCTCGTGTTTGACACACACAGAGAGCCTTAACCACGACGTCGAGACGTCTCACAGCGCTTCACGGACTGGGCGGTACAGGGCGTCTATTGACGTTTGTACGTTTTGTGGGCGAACCGTACGGTGTCTTGTCTTCAGTGAAATGTCTTCAAAGATGAGATCAAATTCAACAGAGGGGGAGTTGAGGGGTAACTGCTGGAGTCTGACCACCTAAACCCACACATGGCTTGGCCATAGAGAGAGAGAGAGCGCTGTCTCGCTGCTTGTCCAGCGAGGACCACCCTCCCCGTTAGTCAGTCAGTCAGTCAGTCAGTTAGTGCTTTGGCTGTGGGGTTAAACGGGAGCTGATCATGTCCGAAAAAGCGTTCGAAAAAGTTAGGTCTTGAGGTGGACCTTGAACTTTGAGAGGGAGGGAGTCAGAAGGAGTTCCAGAGAGCCGGGGAGAGGTGGGGGGTGGGTGGTGGGGGGGGGGGGAATGACTAAAAGCCCACCCGCCTACTGTGAGACTAATCCGCTACTAAAGCAGCAAAGACTTGACTGACACAAACACCTGCACAAACATGAAGTGAGACCTCCAGTGCGATCGCAGACGGCCCCCCCAGACTTAGCGGCCAAAATAGTCCCGTTGTGTGAGTGTGTGTGTGGTCAACGCTTATTCTTGTCCCTTGTTCACCCGATCCTCCCCGTGACGGGAGGGATCGCGCAACATTCCCTGGAAAGATCCCGTCAGAAGGCCTTGAGGATATCGGAAACAATTGCAAAACCTCCAGGGGGAGGACAACAACAACAACAACCGCAATTATATCCGTACAGCGCCTTTCACGGCAGGTCACAGCGATCTCTGCTTCGCCCACCAAAACCCACAGTCACGACGCTTTACACCGGAGGAGGCCGCGAAGAGCTTCAAGACGTCTCGAAGTCCGTGATGAAGGCGCCGTATCACGCCCGAGGGTGATTACCGTCTGAAAGGCTTTCCACGCGAATTTGCCGCGAGCGAGAGAGGGAGGGAGAGGAGAGAGAGAGAGAGGGGTTTAAAGGAGAGGGGGCTTCGAAAGCGCCGGATTTGGCGAATTGCGTTGCTTTTTTTAGATGCGCATTCCGATGCTTCAGCCGAGAGAAAATGACCTTAAGGTTGGGCCGATGGGAATGTCATCCTCCCCTTTTGATGTACGTATATAACTGACGGACAATAAAGCTCTCTCCTCTCTCTCTCTGTCTGTCTGCACGTTGTCGGGTTTCAACTGAGAGAAACACACCTTGAGAGTTAGAATCGTAGGATCTTAGAATCTTACAGCACAGAACGAGGCCATTCGGCCCATCCTCCCGGTGTTGGCCCCTCCACAACTAGTCTTGCTCACCCCCCCACCCACAACCCCCGCCCGCTGCTCTTAGCCCAGAGCTTGCAAATCGTCTTCAAGTCCCTATCCGATTCCCTTTCGGACGTTACCAGCAGAGTCTGTGGCTTCTTCGAAGGCTATGGCTCCGAAGAAAGATCCGAAGAAGCCAGCGAGCTCTCCCGGCAAACCAATAGCTAAGGGGGGGAATCCAACAGCCTCTGCTGGCAAACCGGCGGCGGCAAAACCAGCAGCGGCAAAACCAGCAGCGGCAAAACCAGCAGCCCCCCCGCCAAAACCAGTAGAAAAAGCACCAGAGATTCCCCCGGTGCCCAAACCACCTCAGGAGCCTGCGTATGACCTCTCGAACCTGCAGGTAGGAGCTGAATCTTTTACTATTTTTAAAAAAATAATATTATTAATATTATAATAATAATAATCCTTGCGATCCGCCAATCGACTAACACCCGGGTTCCTACTGACTGCTGGTAAACAGAGGCGCGCGCGTGTGTGTGTGTGTGTGTGTGTGTGTGTTGTGTGCGCGGAGTAAGGAAATTTGCCTGAGGTTTCAACGTCTCGACAACGTGATAAAGGCACAACAGCAAATGGGAGGATTACTATTATTATTATTATTATTATTAAGATGTCTCAAAGCGCTTCACAGGACTCGCTGTAAAGTGCAGTGACTGTGTATTTTGCGCGAGAAAACGCAGTCGATTCGCTTTGCGGCGTATCCTGCGAAGCGCTTTGCGACGCGTCTTGTAGCTCAGGGGTTAGAGCAAGCGAGAGGACCCGGGTTCGATTCCAGGGCGGGTCAGGACAGGACGAAACCTCGGTCAAGTTTCCTCACTCCCCACTCACACGCGCACCCAGTTTACCAGCAGTCAGTAGGAACCCGGTTGTTAGTCGATTGGCGGATCGCTTTCCCGGGGTGGGAGGGGGTGGGGGGGGGGGGTGCAATAATCCCTTCAAAAAAAATAATAATAAATTTGGGTCACTTTCACCGACGACTGCTCGTGCGCGGGAGGGACGTCGCTGGGGCGCGAGTGGCTGCCGGGTCTCGCCCAAGGAGCCCAACTGTGCGGCGAGTTTACTCCGCCAAAGAGACGCCCACGGAAAGGGAGGAAGGCGCCGCGTGGAACGGCGAGGGTGACGGTGGCTCCGATCACTAGGATTATTAAGATCATGACTATTATTATTGTCATCATTATTATTAATATTATTAACCCAACAGAACTTGCTCCTTCTTGTGCAGCACAGAGGCTCGGGGTGGTTGACCTGCCCACTAGTCAGTAATTGGATGGACTGTGTGAGCCACACATTTTGTGGCTTTGTACAGTGGAAGTCAGTGACTGGTGTCCAATTGATGTCAATCATTGCACTGAACGTCATCCACTGCTAGAAAAGGCCTGGACAGGACCTCTCCTTTTTTTTTCTGGCATATTTTATCCAGTTTGCAAGAAGAAAAATGGTGTGTATTTAAGAGGGAAAGGATTTCCCACAGCCCTGAGGGCAGCATCTCTCTCCTCTCTCTCTCTCTCTCCCTCTCCATCTCTCTATCCCTCTCTCTCTCTCTCCCATCTCTCTCTATCCCTCTCTCTGTCCCTCTCTCTGTCCCTCTCTCTGTCTCTCTCTCTGTCCCTCTCTCTCTCTGATGTTGATGTTCATTTGCTTCCAAAAGGAAAAAAAAACCCCAAACCATTAGATGTTCGTAACCTTCTTTTTTGTGTGTGTGTCACTTTGTTTCCCAGTCTGACTACTCCGAGGAGCAAATTTCTGGTAAGTCCTGAATTTAAACCAACTTAAACTTAAGCAATTTAAGTCACCAACTTAGTGATTGCTGGGTTTATGACATATATATATATATATATATGTGTAATTTATATTATATACATATGTGTGTATTTAGTTCTCGATTACTCACACGTTTTGCCATCGTTTTTTGTTCTTAATTTCCTCTCTCTCTATATATATATATATATTTTGGGGGGTGTTGAATAATAACAATACTGTACAAGAAAGAAAAGAAGTCCAGAAGCAAAAAGGAGATGAGAATAAATGAAAGGCGATGAAAGTGATGGGGGGTTTATGGGGTGAAATGGTCGCTTTTTGGGTGCGATGTGTTTTTTAAGATATATATATATTTGTGTGTGTTTTTATATATATATATACATAGAAAACAATACAATAGAGGGCGTGAACCAGAAGAGGAAACGAGGCAACAGTGTGAACGTGGTAAAAAAATAGAGAATTTCAAGGATCGCACCAACTTTTTAGCGCAAAAAGTGCGTAAAATGGTTAAAAACTCTACAAAGATCAGAGAGAGAGAGAGAGAGAGAGAGAAACAGAAGGAGAAAGGCCCCAAAAGGAGATCAGCAGTTTGTACTCTCGACTCCTCAAACCAGGAAGTCGATTCCCCCTTCAAACCCAAAAAAAAATTGGGTTCAAGTTTTCTTTTCCCCCAAAAAAAGAGTTTTCTCTTTACTTTTTGGACAACTTTTCGAGGCAAACTCTTGAGTTTGCATTGACCTGAACTGATCTGTGTGTTGTGTGTTGTGTTGTGCAGTAATCCATCTATTTATATTGTAAAATATAAAGCTCAGATGAGAGGAGTGTCTCTGTTCCATTTGATGCCCATTTTAACCCGGAAAAGGCGCACCCATTTTGCTCAGATATTTTGCTCTCTTTCTTTCTCTCTATCTCTCTCTCTATCTCTCTATCTCTTCTCTCTCTCTCTGACTATTCCCCCTAATAAACCTCTGGGTACTTTGACCTGGAGTTTCTGGTTGAGAGAAAGAGAGAGAGAGAGAGAGAGAGAAATTGTTATTTTCATTTAATTCATTTGAATTAAAAGTCTCTTTTTGCACCAATTAGGATTTATTTGCTCCCTCCCTCCCCCCTTCCCTCCCCCTCCTCCCCAGTTCTTGCCAATAATCATTGCCACTTTTTTTTTTCCCCCCTAAACAACTCCATATATGGACAAAAAAAAAGTTACTCTCAAGGATCAACCCTCACTCGGAATATTCCTCGGTTTGAGGAATGAGGGGAATATGGATGGATCTCATTCCATTAAATCCGCAGCCCTGATCACCCCCCAACCTCCCACCTCCCATCCTTTCGCCCCCAACGCACCCCCACCCCCACCCGCGCGCGCGCCCCCCCCGCGCCAATCTTTCTTTAAACCTATTTGAAACCATTTATTTTATCACAGAATAATAATGATAATAATAATAATCCTTGCGATTGATGTGGTGCTTTCGAGACACTTCACGGGCGCTTTGAGAACGGATAAACTGTTCACGAACGGGAGGGTGGTGCGTGGGGGGGAGTTTAGTTATGGGGGGGGGGGGGCAGAGGTGGGGAGTGAGGAAGAGGAGAGAGAGATAATGGAGAGGAAATGAATATCGGGTGTGTAACAAATCATCCTATTAACACTGGCTCCTCACGTTGCTCTCTGGTGTTTTACTATGCGGTGTTTTATTAAGTATCTGCTATATGATGCGTGTGTCTGAATATCGGGAGACATTGAAGCTGACACGAGAGCCGCCCCTTTCGTTGCTGCTTCTGATCGTCGAACGCGTCTCCTGGAAAATGCTACCAGTTGGCGACGGTTAGCGCCACCACTGACGGTTGGATTAGATGGACGCACAGCCCTGCCTCCCATCACCCGAAAATTACTCGCTCAGTCCGCGGCTGCTTGTGTGCGCAGTTGCCGCATTATTATTATTATTATTATTTATTATTAGGTGTTGGCCTTTGGGTTTTGGGTGTTGGTTTGGGATCGGTGGGTAACTGTTTCGCTTTGGATGGAGTCAGAAGCTATCGGGTGGTGGTGGTGGGGGTTTCGGGGGAGTTCTCACGGAGTGAAATAATAATCTAAATAATAATTTGGTCGCGCAACAGAAAATGCATTGCAAAGTATATGTTCCAACAGAGCCACGGGATCTTTTCGCGCTGCATCGGCTCAGACGGACTCCCAAACTCCCCTCAACTCAACAGCATAATAATCCTTGCTTTTGATACGGCTTCCAGACACCTCAAAGCAAAGCGCTTCGCGGAAATACACCGTAAAGTGTAGTGACTGTGTATTTTGTGGGCCAAACAAGCGGCAGCCGATTGCGCCCAGTGACGTCCCCCACGGACAGCCGTGGATTGAAGGGACCACATTTATTATTTAGTTTTTTGAAGGAACGTAACTCACAGGGAGGACAGAGTTGGTTGATGGGGGTTGATTGCCCCGATCTCTCTCTCTCTCTCGGAGGGTGGGGGTGTGTGTGTAACTCTCTTTATTTCCCACAGAATTCCGGGAGACCTTCACTCTGTTTGACAGGTGCGGGAATGGGCAGATCCTGTTCAGCCAGTGCGGAGATGTCATGAGAGCTCTCGGCCAGAATCCCACCAATTTGGAGGTGCAGAAGGTCCTGGGGAACCCCAGTTCTGAGGGTACGGACTGACACACGTCAACAACAACAACAGCAACACATGGCATTTACACAGGGCCTGCCCTTCACGTCGGGAGGACGTCCCAAGGTTCTGGGTGGACAGGGATTTGGACCCGAGCTGGGGGTTGGGATCAGGAGGGATGGAGGGCAGGGAGGGAGGGAGAGTAGGGGGTAGGAGGATGACTGAAGCAACTTCACACTGAGCACTTGAATCTGAGCCGTTGTTCACAGTTTAGATGTTCTGTCTGAAGCTGTGTGTGAGATTGAGTGTGTGCGCGTGTGTGAGAGATTGTGTGAGATTGTGTGTGTGTTTGTCTGTGTGAGTGTGAGTGAGAGAGAGAGAGAGAGAGAGCGAGAAAGAGAAGCCATAAATAACTGCTGCTCAGCTCTCGATGGCGGCCACAATGGTGGGGATTAAGAGATACTTAATACCAGGTATCAATGATGCAGATCAGTAACCAGCTGTTGGTTTATTTTGGCTGATGGTTTACACGTGGGTAACTTGCACTGACCCAGTGAAGCTTCCAGCGGCTTCACCACTCACTGCGTGGGGCGCGTCAGCATTCTTTCACGTTACCAACATAAGAAGATAATAATTACTGGATGATAGAGGACCAAGGTCCATCCAGTTCACCGTCCGCACCGGCAGTCGTACTCACAGGTCGTGTCTCAAACAAAATAATTATAATAATCCTCGCATTTGACACAAAGCCGCCGCGGACGAATTGACCGTACATTTTGTGGGCGAAACGGGGCAGCCAAATACTCACAGCCGCGTCCCCCACACACAGTCGTGGGATTGAAGTGACCAATTTATTATTATTATTATTTTATTGTTTTCAAAGGAATTATTCCCTCTGGAAAATTGATCCACCAATCGACTAACAACTTTTTTAAAATATAAATACACACACACACACATATATATATACACACACAAACATACCTTTGTCTGTGTCTTCTGCCACCATCCACGTGTTCTCTCACACTAAGGGTTGGGTTGGGTGCAAGCTTGACCATTGATACCTCCCAGGCGGTGTTGGGTGGGGTCAGGAGACTTGAAACACACTCCTGCCTGTTTAAATCCAGGATGGGTCTGGGCTTGTTACCAATGTAGCCCAAGGACCAGCTGAGCCCTGTCTAGAACCGGATACCTTCTCTGAAGAAGGTCCTGACTTTCCTGTTTCGTGGTCTTGTAAACGACAATGACTGACGAGACCGACAGGAACGCCTTTCGCCCACAAAACGCACCGTCACTCCACGTTACAGTGTATCCTGGGAAGCGCTTTGAGACGTCTCGACGACGTGATAAGGCGCTGTGTCAAATGCCAGGCTTATTATTATAATAATATTACCATCGACGGTGGGAGATCCCTGAGAGAACCGGAGGCAGGGAACGCGGAAAGTATTAACACGTCTCGTGTGTGTGTGTGTGTGTTTTTTTGCCCCCTCTTTGGCTCTCAGACATGAATCGAAAGTGCCTGGACTTTGACCAGTTCCTTCCCATGTTGATCGCTGTTGGAAAGAACCGGGACCAAGGAACCTTCGAGGACTTTGTGGAGGGTCTTCGTGTCTTTGACAAGGAAGGCAACGGCACAGTCATGGGGGCTGAGATGCGTCATGTACTCGCTACTCTAGGTAACCGTTTGACCGATAACCAGAAGCATCAACCCCAGAAGTAGGCGGGGGGGGGGGGTGACCGAAGAGGAGGGTCTTGAAGGAGGCGGAGGGAGCCAGGTGGAGGGACTGCGGGATGGAGTTCCAGAGGGTGGAGGCAGAAAGGCTGAAGGCCCGATCGCTGACGGTGGGGGTTGGCCGGACGGGGGGGACATGGAGCAGGCCGGAGCCCGCTGAGCGGAGGGAGCAGACAGGTTGATCGGGGGGGGGGGGTCAGCAGATCACAGAGGTAGGAAGGAGCAGAGAGAGCCTCGGGGGGCGGACGAGGATTTTCGAACCCTTTCAAAGTGCTTGAAAGGAGCAAAACCCCTTCAAGCGCTTCGAGGTGTTTCCGTGAGGTGTTGCGGGTGCAAACGGGCCAGGATAATTCTAACCTAACGACTAAGAGAGAGCGTTGTGCTGTTGTTAGGAGAGAAGATGACTGAAGAGGAGGTGGAAACTCTCTTGACCGGTCACGAGGATGCCAACGGCTGCATCAACTATGAGGGTAAGTGCGCGCGTGTGTGTGTGTGTGTCTTGTGTCACCACAACCACAACAAATTGTGCCTTTCACCACACGCTCGGGCTGTTTCACACCGATCTGTAAAACGTCTTAAACATTCCCCGCCCCCACGCACACAATATTTAAGAGAATCCTGTGACTAAATGCCTAATTGGCGAGCGGAAAGATGTACCTCTGTTGATCGTTGAATCCTGGTAGGCGGACAGGTGCGAGGCGAGGACTACTCTTAACCGCTCAGTAGTTAGACCACTCGCCTTCGCAAGCGAGAGGACCCCGGGCTCGATTCCCGGGCGGGTCAGGTCAGGGCGAGACATTGGGCAAGTTTCCTGACTCCAAACCGCTTTCCCGTAGAAGGGTAACATTCATTTTCTTTGGCCGTCTCCAACGCTCTGTTGGGGCTTCCACGAATTTCATCCGAGAAAATTGACGCCATTTTTCTCCCCTCCTGCAGAAATGCAGGTGACCCAAAAGGTCCTGATATCGTTACAATGTCCTAATAAGTCTTAATTTTTTTTAGAAAATAGGGTAGAATTCATGAATTTTTGGTCAACCCGTACAACGCACATTTACACTTACACAGCATCGGGTAAGAGGGAACGGCACCCCAAGGCCCTAAAACAATCACCCGTGGCTTGGTTTCTGAGCAGGGGGTGGGAGATGAGGGGAGGGGAAGGGGGGAAGGGATAGCGGTAATGGGGTAAAATGGCCAAAAAGCCCAGTCAATGAGATGAATCTTGACGACAAGGTCCCATCCCACACTGAACCTCCCTCCGGCCTCCGAATGTTCCTATGAACTTGCCCAAGAAGCTCACTCGAGCCAACAGAACCCAAGTGGCCGACTTGGCTGCTGATGAAGATGTCAGCCATTCAAGACCAAGAGAGTAACGTCCAGATGGTTTTGTGGACCTCCTCGGTTTAATGTTTCTCTTCCTTTTTGACAGCGTTTGTCAGACACATCATGTCAGGGTGAACGATTAATCCATGGTACACCAGCTTTTTGGCAAATCACCTTTTTTTGCCCTGTCCCTCCTTCCCTCCCTACCCATCCCTCCAGTCTTACTCTTTTCCCTGTTGGCATGTTCTGTTTCTCTCTCTCTCTCTCTCTCTCACTCGCTGCATGTAGCTTCTGTTCTGCGTTGGCAGATTTGACTGGGAAGCTCCTTTGGTTTTTGTGTATGAACTCGTGTCCACTAAAGGAAGATCATTTGAGCATTTTCTGGTTTGCCAAGGTCTGGCCGACGTTACTACTACTACAACTACTACTAATAATAATAATTATCCTTGCATTTGATATAGCTCCTCATCATGTCGTTGAGACGCCTCAAAGCCCTTCACAGAACATCGACTGTCTACTTTGTGGGCGAAACATAGACCCGAAGTCACCTTACTGTGCTCCCCCACGCCAGCCTCTGTTTGCCCGGCAGTCAGTGGGAACCCGATTGGTAGTTGATTGGCAGATCGCCTTCCGGGGGCAATAAGCCCTTTAAAAAAAAAAGAAATCATTATTTTTTTGAAACCGAGAATAATTCGGTCGCTCAATCCACCGGTTTGTGGGGGAGGTCTTTGGGCGCAATCAGCCGCCGCGTTTCGCCCACAAAGAGCACTTTACGGTGTACCCTGTGACGCGATAAGGATCTGTAATCAAATAGGAGCAGGAGGAGGCCATTCAGCCCCTCGAGCCTGAGCCGCCATCCTATTAAATCGCAGCTGATCTGTACCTCAACGCCAATTAAATACAACGATACTCTTGTGATGGTGATACCGATAATAACTGGGGGGGAGCTGCAGAGTCGGACTTGCCTTAGGGCGACCGAGTCTGTTCTGACAAAGGGTCATAGACTCCTAGAACCTTCCAGCGCGGAAGGAGGCCATTCGGCCCATCGTGCCTGTGCTGGCTCTTCGGAAGAGTCGTGGGTAGGAAATGGTCTTCCTCTGGTATCTCAGCGAGTGACTTAACGTTCAGGCTGGCTGTGGTTGGACTCTTTTTATTATTTTTCTTTGAACTTAACCCGGCCTCTGAGCCCCCGAGGCGGTGGTTGCTGTGCCGTGGGCCCTTTCTGCGGTGGTTCAATTCCTGTCGACGTTAAAATAAAAATAAGCGGGTTGCGGAGATGGCTCGGAGCCTGGGGTTTGTGGCCGTGGCAGGTGTAATGTCGAGTGGCTATGCTTTGCGGTGATTTCATCTCGAAGGTTCCGATTACTACCACTACAACAACAACAACAAATTACATGTTGTGCAGCGTCTTTCACGCCGGGAGGACGTCCCAAGGCACTGGATTACGATCACCATCCGCTGACGTCCATCCGGCCAACGTTTGGCATAAAACCTGCGCCGTCGACTTCCGTGCGAGTTGGTCTGCGCTGTGGGAATGTAGAATCAATCCCAAGCCTCGAAACAGTCACTTCGCTTTACACCAAATCCCCCCCCCCCCCGCCCCGAGGGCGTTGAGACATCGCGCGCCTGTCCGCCGCGTTTTGCCCACAAGGTGCGGCCAAATTTTTTGCTCGATCGGGACCTTTTTCTTTTTTTGTCCCTCGTCGCCGTCGAGTTTCCGGCCGCGTCTTGTTAAGAGGACGTCGCCTGAGATCCTGTGACAGGTTCTCCCGGTGCCTCGGGTCGTCCTCCCGACGTGAAAGGTGCTCCAGGAATGTACTCTGTTGCTGTCGCGGTATCGCGAGGTGCGTTTCGTTCGTTCATTCTTTTATTCCTTTTCCCCCACAGAGCTGGTCCGGATGGTGATGAACGGTTGACACAGTTTCCTGGAGTCTGAACTGAAGTGCCTTTTCTACTCACATCTATAAACCTCACTTTTAAAACTTGGGAGGGAGGGGGGGAGGGTGGGGGGGGGGGGGGGGGAGGGAGGAGAAGAAAGAGATGGGGGTGGGAGGGGGAGATAAAGGAAACGGTAATAAAATGTAAAGTAATTTCTATCTTGTTTCTGAACACTCACCAGCATTCGCGCATGTCTGTGCGTGTGCACACACAAGGGTGTTCACGCACACGCACACGCGCAAGCACACACAGCGCGCGCGCACACACACACACACACGGATCTGGCATTGGAAGAGTTTTGCTCACTGAACCGACTTGTCCAGAAATCAGCCGGTGACACGGCGAGAGCGAGGGAGAGAATTGGACGAACGATCCCTCGCTTTTGGACAAGTTCGGTAGGGAATGTATCTCAGACGGTTCGGGAAGTTGAGCAGTAGAGGGTGGGGTGGGGGTGGGGGGAGAGAGAGAGAGAGAGAGAGAGGGGAGTTTAGGTGTCTGTGAAGCTCACAAGGTTGGGTGGGTTTCAGTCAGTGTCAGGCAATCCCAACCACCTTCCCTCCACCGTAAATTATTTTCCTGTTTCTTTGCTTTCACAAAATAAAATCTCTCTTGAATTACTGGTGACTCGACTGTGAGTTCCTGGCTCTTTGCGCGGATAAGAGGCTGTGTCTGTGTCTGTCTGTTGTCTGTGTGGGGCGGGGAGAAGAGGAGAGATTAATTTCCTAATCGTCACCAGACACGTTTCAAGTCGTCACTAAGTACAGTCTGGGAGGTGAGAACGACAGCAATAAATTGCAGTAAGTAGGAAACCCGGTTGTTAAGTCGGTTGGGAATCGCTTTCAAAGGGCTTTTATTAATAATCCCTTCAAATAATAATCCTTGCATCTGATACAGCGCCCTATCGCGTCTTCGCGACGTCTCAAAGCGCTTCACAGTGTATTTTGTGGGCGAAACGTTAGTATAAACGCAAGTTGCGGTGGGACTGAACGCAGACTGTAATTGTAGCTGTGAGAGAGGGAGAGGGAAGGCTGGTACTGTTTACTCGCTGCGAGTGCGAGAGGCAGTCTCGCTTTAGTGGGAAAGTAGGCGACAACAGCTGGGAATCTGTGACCCAATTTCATCCCTTAACCAAACCGCTCGCAGAACCCCCCCCCCCCCCCCCGAGGCCGCACTTCTGTGTGCGACGCTTCGATTAATCACCTGCAAAATTGGAGCAAATGATGACAGCCAACTGTTAGCGCTGAGACGGCACCTCTTCGTGTCTCCGTCCTCTTCTCTCTCTCTCTCTCTCGTCTTCAGATCCCTTCATGACCTGGGACCTCTCCGACCTGCTCGCTCCCCCATTCCATCCGTGGCCGTGCTTTCAGCCCCTACGCCCCGAAACTCGACCGCTCTCCTTCTAACCCTCCCTCCGCCTCCTTCCCCATCTTCAGCTTGCGCCTCACGTACCTACCCCTCCCTACCTCCCGGGTCCTCTCCTCTCGCTTGCGAGGCGAGGGCGCCCCAGGACTCCACGTAAAAAAAAATTCCAAGACTCTCCGCGCGCGCGTGTGTGTGTGTGTGTGTCTACAGCGAGTCGTGTGGTGGGTGGAATAAGACTGTACCACAGCCACTTTGCTCCGACATAATGACAGCGGCCACGAAAACATCAGCCGCACAGATGAGTCGGTGTCCAACTCACACGCGCACAATTACGCACGCGCGCGCGCACATATTACACACACACACGCGCGCCGCGCGCGCAGAGCAGTCACATAGGGCTAATGTATTTGCGTTGTCTCGGGGTAACAATGGCTGGCTAACAAGCTGTCCTTTTGGCAACGATTCTGGAAAGAGTTGGTGCTTTCTGTTACCCAACACGCGCGCATGTGTGTGTGTGTGTGTGTGTGTGTGTGTGTGTTACTCTGCTTTGGAATTACAGTAGAGAGGTCCAATAGAGCCAAATTTCCTCGTCTCCTAATATGGTTGTGCATCGACTCCGCTAACACCCATTAAAGCCTTATTTTTTTTTCTCTGAGGCCCATTGATGTCGTTAAACGTTCAGCCGGGCTCAGCCGGACACATTTCTGCGTGCAAATGCGCAGCCAAGTCACTCCACCTCTGCGGCGTCCCCGAGCTCAGCGCTTGGAGCCCTGGCCTCGCAGGCGAAAGGACCCGGGTTTGAATCCCGGGCGGGTCGGGGCGAAACCTTACACGAGTTTCCTTACTCCACACACAGACAGACACACGCACACGCGCGCGCACACGCACGCACGCGCGCGCGCGCACGCCTCTGTTCACCCAGCGGTAAGTGGTTGTTAGTCGACTGGCGGATCACTCGTCGGGGGGGCAATGATCCCGTCCACAACAGATCAAATAAAAAAATAGCGACTCAAGTCACTCAATTTCCCCGGCTGTTCGCGGGGACGCTGCTGTGCGCGACCGGCTGCCGCGTTTGGCCCTCGAAACACACAGTCACTACACGCGCATTCACATTCGATTCACGCAACAACACAAGTTATACGTACCGGCGGGCTGGAGGCAAAGTCAGGGGTCGCTGCCCTCCGCACCCCCACTCCCCCCACCCCCCCCCCCACCTCGGTCCGTGAAACTCCCGCAGCTTTTGAGCAGCTCAGCTCCATAAAAAGAGAAGTGGGGAGAGAGAGAGGGGGAGAGGGAGGGAGGACTGGCCGCCAGCCAGACATTTTTTCAATGCCTCGCCCGCTGTGATCTGTCAAACTCTCTCGTTAACAGCTCATGGCTTTTTATGGCTGTGTTCGGGTGAAGTTAATTGAATGTTCCAGGGCTGAGTCGACCGAACGCGCGCGAGCGCTTCACGGGGATACACTGCGGTCGCGCGACAAAACTCTAATCGGAATAACCCGCGCGTTCGACCCGGCGCCTCGTCACGCCTTCGGGACGTCTCAAAGCCCTTCGCAGATTACACCGCAAAGCGTACATTTAACGGGCGAAGCACGGCGTCCCCCGCGAACGGCGGTGGGTGGATTCAAGTGACCAAATTATTATTTTTTTGAAGGGATTATTATTTCCCCCAGAAAAGCGATCCGCCAATCGACTAACAACCGGGTTCCTCCTTACTGCCGGGTAAACAGAGGCGTGTGCGTGCGCGCGTGCGGAGTAAGGAACCTTGCCTAAGATTTCGCCCCGAACCCGGGTCCTCTCGCTTGCGAGGCGAGGGCTCCGACCACTGGGCTTCGAGTCCGGCTTGCTCTCCGAGCCTGAAACGGTCAGGAGAAAGCAACGCAGCGGACAGCGGAAACCCAGGAATCTGCTCTCAATCCCTATCTGGTGACCAGAGTAACGGGATCTTCTGCAGCCGAGGCCAGTGACGTACTCACCCAGACGTTGCCTTGACCTTTCCGAGCGAGTAAGTCTCGTGCTGGCTCTCTTCCACCGGGCTTCTCACCTTGTCGTCTCTCTTTCTCTGTGGGTTTAAGGTATTAGATTGGGGGGTATTGTGTAGTCTGGCCCTCTAGTGATCGCTGTGATAAAGTCACTCCAATTTTTTTTGGGCTCAGCCTCAGGTGTCTGACACTCGCGGAAACCCATCACCGTTGCTCAAGAGTCTCCAAACCCAACTGAGAATCCCAGGCCTCCCGTCTGCACGTGGAAACCCCAGAGATAGGTTGTTGGGATGGAATACGCTCTCTCTCTCTCTCCGGAGGGATGTACCCCTCTTACCTAATTCCGGAGGGTATTAGGCGCAGGTTCGCCAGAGCCTCGGCACTCAAGGTCAATAATGGCCTCACAAGGAAACCTACCGACTTACAAGAACATAAACCAGGGATGAGTGGATGATAACAATAATAATCCTCGAGTGTGATACAGCGCCTTATCCCATCATTGAGACGTCTCAAAGCGCTTTACAAAATATACTGTAAAGTGTAGTGACTGTGTGTTTTTAATGGACATGGCATTCAGGACTTTTCGACATTGAGGCGCTTTGAGACGTCTCAAGGACCTGATAAGACGCGGTATTAAAAGCAAGGATAATTATCATCATCATCCCCCTCGTGAGAGGCCCTCGTAACAACCGTAAAATATGCTCCACTAATTATTACCCCCCCCACCACCACCCACCACCAATGTTGTGCCAGTGCATGTAAAACAACCCGGTATTTATTAAGTACACGTTTTTTTTTAATTCTTTTGCGGTTTCCCATGATGACAAAGATCTACGCAGACTAGAATAACAGTTACAGACTAAATACATCTCTACAAGCTTGTTGAACACACTACACTGGAAACGTACGGATTTGTAAAAAGATGGGTACATTTTTTAAGAGGGCTCGACGGCAGTTTCTTTCGCAACTTTCTAATAAACCGTCTCGTTGGGAGAGTCCAGGTGTGAAGGAGGCCCTCTCCAGCCGTTCCTTATAACAAAGGGTCAAAAAAAAAAAAACACGACCTCAAAGTATTGCCACGTCTGTCTAACCAGAACAAGACGAACGACAAATGATAATTTCGGATATTTCCACGTTTTGCGGGCGTTTCAAAACGAGCCGTATTTTTGGCGTTTCCCTCCCAGAAGCATGAAGCGATAACACGGACGAACCGGGAGGGCGGGGGCCGGATCTGGCCCGCGGGCCGCCAGTTGGGGCCGCCCCGCGTTAGGTGGAAGACGTGTCCCAGAAGGCAGTCGAACCCTATTAAAAATTCCTGTTTTTTTTTAAAAAAAAATCTTTCTCTCCCCCTTTGTTTTAATGTGCCAAGAGCAGGGAATATACAGCACAATATGCAGCCGGCATAGAAAAACACAGGCAGGCAGTTTTAATGTAAAAAAAATATTAATATATAAATGAGCAAATATACAATAATTCCCACCCCACTGTCTTAACGAACGTTGTGTGTTGGTCAGTTGATGTTTAACTTTGCTGCTGGTCAGCCAATGGTTACAGGAGCTAACCAGGTTTGGTAATGTCCTTCTGGATCAGCAGCTTAGTGGATGTTGGACAGGAGGGAAGGGGGTTGGGGGGTGTGGTGGGTGGGGCGGGGGGGGAAGGTTAGCGATGGCAACAGCACAAACACTAAAGTCTTTCCATTCAGGAAATGATGACGACAGGAAGGATGTTAATCCCCGGCTCAATAATCATCGTCATCATCATCATAATAGTAATAATAATCTTTGCAGTTGACACAGAGTCTGATCATCTCAGAACACAAAGTGAATCGACCGTATTTTGAGGGCGAAACCCAGCGGCCAATTGCTCACAGCGAACGTCCCCACAAACAGCCGTGGATTATTATGCCGAAGGGCGTCTTTCTCAGCGGTGGTGCAATTTAAATTTAACGTTGCAGGGCGAGCAAGGCAAAGGGGGTTGCTCAAAGAAACTCCCAACCGACTAAAGACCAGCAGCGAACATACTTTGCTAGCAACCTCTGTGACTCGGGGCCGAGTTGGGTTGAGGAGACGCCCCCCCTCCCCACTCCGCAACCACATTTCGGCCAACTCACCCCATCACTGCACAGCATCGCCCCCCCCCCCCCCCCCACACTCAGTTGACAAAAAACTCTGTGCCTTTCCCTGACAGGTCAGTAATCGCGCTGAGATATTAATTACCCACTTGTGCTGCCCGGAAGCTTATACATCATTTCAGTTGAAATGCCATTCTAATCATTGTTTTTTCTCCCCCCCCACCCCACCCCACCACCCCCGACCCCAAAAGAAAGCAAGTCAACAACAACCAAAGGACACTCGTTGTGTTTAGACACTTTAAACGCTTAATAATAATAATAATGATAATCCTCACATTTGACATAAAGCCTTACGGCGTCGTTGAGACGTCTCAAGGCGCCTTCACGGGATTACATTGCAAACTGAACTGACTGCGTATTTTGTGGGTGGAACGTGGCGGCCAATTGCGCACGGCAAAGCCCCACAAAAACAGCCGTGGATTGAGTGACCAATTAATTTCTTTGAAGAAAGGATTATTATCTCCCGGAAAGCGATCCACCAATCGACTAACAACCGGGTTCCCACTTACTGCCGGGTAAACAGAGGCGCGCGCGTGTGTGTGTGTGTGTGGGGGCGCGGGGGGTGGGGTAAGGACACTTGCCTAAGGTTTCGCGCCGACCTGGGGAATCAAACCCAGGTCCTCTCGCTTGCTCGCCAGGCGAGTGCTCTAACCACTACACTGCGGGGTTCCACATTAAGGCAGAAAGGGTTTTAGCCTCTGCGTTTATTTGACAAGTGCTGGACAACGCTCAAAACCCTTTGAAAATACCTCTTGCGTATTAAACAAGCATCTGGGGTCCAAAACACCCACCGCCCCCCCCTTGTGAATTGGGAGGATGGGGCGGGGAGAAAGGGGGGAGTGGGGGGTAAGCAATGCAGACATCGCCTGCGCAGCATCATTTCAGTCTCGCAACAGTACAATACACAGTATTGTAACACAGTAAAATATCCCAGAATACACAGTCGCTGCACTTGACGGTATATTCTGTGAAGCGCTTCGAGACGTCTCGACGAGGCGCCGGGTCAAGTGCAAAGGATTATTATGGTTACTATTAATTGGGCAGCTCTCTTTTCAAGAGAATTCTTCATTCAGCCATTGATTCGGTCAGGCAGTAAGGAAGGCGGTTGCTTTGATTCTGACAAACACACACATAATATATACACACACACAACACACACACACACACACACAAGTATACGGTAAAAAAAAAAATCGCATTATCTTCTGCTCTCCCCTCCCTCCCCGACTCCCAAAGTAGGCAGTGTCTCACAACACAGACACACACACACACACACACACTCTCTGTGCAAATCCGGGGTCATGTTCCTTCAGGTTCAAGACCCACAATTAACCGAGTAATAAACACGGCCGCACAAACTGTTTCATTGAGTTATTTCTTTTTTTTAAAAAAAATGATCCGACACTGAATTCGGGTTACGTTTGCAAAGAAACGAGGCGGCTTCCAACCTCCCCACCCCACCCCCCTCCCCACCCCCCTCCGCCCCCCCCAACCCCAATTTTGGAGTCTAACCGGCTGAACCCACACATGGCTTGGCCGTTGTGAGAGAGAGGGAGAGAGCGCTGTCTGGCCGAGCTTTCCCGCTGCTTGACCAGTTAGGACCCCCCTCCCCGCCAGTTGGTTAGGGCTTTGGCTGTGGGGTTAACGGGAGCCGAGGGGGAGGATTCTCTGCCCCCAATGACTGGTCGGCCCTTCCAGGTCCTGCCGATGGCTGAGCCGGGCTGGGCCGCCATCAGCAGCGAGTGCCCTGGGACACCGCGGCCCCTCCTGGCTCAGGAACCGGGGGCTCGAGACCGTCACGGAGAGAGTGGGGGGGGGGGGGGGGGGGGCGCGACTATTCTGCTTCTAACAGTATTGGTTTCCGAATCGCTGGCGGCATCTGGTGGTTACGCATCGGTACTGCAATGTTTCCAACAGTTCGAAAAACTTTTCTGACGAGGCAAAGAGGGCGGGTGGGGGTGGGGGTCGAATTCGGAAACCCAGCACCCCTGACCCTAACCCTAACCCCCATATTAATTCTCCTCAGCGTGAAAATTAAATGATTCTCAGTTTGGGTCACTTACTCGTATTATTTGCAACCATTTCGATTCCGTTTCCGCCCACACACACACACGCGCACAACACGCGCACGCACGCACACGCACACACACAACACACACGCACACGGTCTGAGTGCATTAAGCCACTTTCCTATTGGCAAATTGTACAAGTTACAGGAGCGATCTGATCGGATCCGATTCAGGCTTTACCGGTGAACATTTGCGGCTGTCTTCAGGAAGTGGGATGAAGGAGAGATAATAATAATAATCATAATTATCCTCGCGTTTGATTACAGCGCCTTATCACGTCTTCGAGACGTCTCAAAGGGCTTCGCAGAATATATTGTACAGCGGATTGTCAGTGAACTGTCAGTGTCCCACAAACGGTTGTGGACTGAGTGACCAAATTATTATTATTATTATTTTTTTTAAGGGATCCTTGAATCGACTGACACCCGGGTGTGTTGGTGGGGTAACAGAGGAGTGGGTGCGGAGCAAGGAAACTTGCCCAACGTTTCGCCCCGACACGGAAATCCTCTCGCTTTGCGAGCTGAGCGCACTAACCGCTAACTTATTTATTTACTTATTTATTTTTTTACAACTGGTAAAGTAATTCCATGATTGTTGTGATGATGGGAATGTGTNAAAAAAAAACGCACACGGAACATGCATCTAGACAAGAACACTATACAACGAGTCATCACGTCCGACACGAGGGGGAAACCTCCCCTCTCGGAGCCCTCACAGGGCCTTGGAAAACAATGACTTAACACCGAGAAGTTCTACAGTAGAACATATAGAAAAAACAGTTTATAGTTAAAGTCTTAACTCATCTGAAAAGAGACGCTGGCATATTGAGCCAATCAATATCAAAAAGAAGCTAAAATCTACTCTCTTCCCCCCCCCCGTCCCGCACCGCGCCCCCCCCCCGCCCTCCCCGACCCACCCACCCCCAACCCCAGAACGTAAAAGACTTGGCAAAAAATCAACGGGGTCTTTAAGGAGTCAAACTCCGACGTGCTCACTGGGTGGGTGGGCATTATCAAGCCAAGTGCTCCCACTGTGATCCAACCTACACGTGTATCCGGAAACTCCCGGCACCCCCCCCTCCCCCCGGCCCCCCCCCCCTCCCGATCTCGGAGTCCTCTGGTGGGATTATGAGACCCTATTGGCTGGGAAATGAGGGGCGTTGCATCCTTTGCCTCCCCCCACCACCACCACCACGATAAAACTCTCGGCTCAGTCACAGTCGATCGGAGTCTGTGCTTTACCAAGCCATTACTGTACTGTACAAGGAACCCAAGCTTCGACCATCGCTAACTTGAATCAAACCAGAAAACACTGACTCTAACACGTTCCCCCCCCACCCCCTCCCGCCCCCACTGCTTTGGCAACGCCCGAAGACTTTACGTGAGTGAGTCTCGCTCGAGCTCAAGGTGCATTGCTTTCCCCCACCCCACGCCCCTCCATAAAACCCCACGAAATTTCCCCCACTTACTTGGCACGATAAAGTAAAATATCACAAACCCCCCCCCCCCCCACCCCACCACCCACTTTCCCACCCGGAAAACGGTCAAACAAACACTCACTGTACGCACCGAGATCGAGGGGCTTTCCTCTAAAACGTTCAAACGCCATTTCGAAATTGAAATAAAATGATTTCTTTTCTCTTCAGCTTTGGGTTAAATCCGTCCGCGTTTACGAACCCGGTCGGGTTTTGGAGACGAGACGCTCGTTGGCCCGCCCGTCGGAGCCGTTCCTGACCCCGCCCCCCGCGCGCGCACGCACACGTACGGAGAAGAGGGGAGGGGAGCTCACCCATCAGTGACAAGAGTAGAACGAGTTGTACATTGTTACTGCGTGACCATCTTAGTGTGATGTCCCAGCCGTTAAGTTAAGTCTTGCCAAGAGCCGGGTGTTGGTCGGAGATTTCAGGAGACACGGGAACTTAGCTTGAGGGAGGGGGTGAAGGTGGGTGGGGGGAGCGGGAGGGGGCAGGGGGATATCCGTGCCTTCCTGGGCTTCTCTTCACGTTGATTTAACTCTTGTGAAATTGGAACTAGTTTGTGTTTGGAGACGGGTTTGCCTGTCTCCGGCTACTGCAGCTCTCACTCGGCGTCTCACTGTGAGGAGGGGACAGAAGCAGCTACCACCGAGGGGGGGGGAGCCATCAAGTCTGTCTGTATCGACGCTCCCGGCTCTGTAAACCAACAAGAAGACATCACACTCACACACAGCGCCTTTCATCAAGGGAGGATGTCCCAAGGCCCTGGATGGTCTTGGGGAGTCCTGTAGCTCAGTGGTTAGTGCCCTCGCCTCGCAAGCGAGAGGACCTGATGCGCCGATCGACTAACAAGCGGATTCCTACTTACCGCTGGGTAAACAGAGGCGCGTGTGTGTGCGCGCGCGCGTGTGTGTATGGGGTCAGGAAACTTGCCTAAGGTTTCGCCCTGCCCCATCCTGCCGGGAATTGAACCCGGGTCCTCTGTCCGGTCTGCGAGGCGAGCAGGTCAGCAACCGCTAAGCCACAGGACTGCGCAAGAACCTTACAGGCGCAGAAGGCGGCCTTTCGGCCCTGGGTGGCAGTGTTGGCTCCTTTGGCTGAGCCACCGGACTGGTCCCGCTCCCTCCCCCCCACCCCGGCTCCTGCTCTCGCCCCGATTGCCCCGGGTGGGACTCGCAATCAGGGACGAGGGGCGAAGTTTTATTACCGATTGGCGGTTGGTACCGTGCAGTGGCTGCGCGGCTTCTCACCTGCCAGGGGACTGGCCGTGGGCATCGAGCTCCCCTGCATGGCTGCCACTATCGCCGGGCTCTGAGCGGCGGCTGAACCTGGGTTGGGGGTCAAAGACACGGAGGGTGGGACGCAGGCACCTGGCAGGTTAGGGTGCAGAGAGCTCGGCCGAATAACGGGCTCGCCCGCGAGACTCCCACGCATGCTGCTGGGTACGTAGCCATGCACGGCCGGGTCGGGCAGATGGGCGGGAATGCTCTCCGTGACGCTATGTGGAATGCCGTCCGGCGTATTACCAGGCAAAGCCGCCGGCGGCCCCACTGGGCTGGGGTTCAGCTGGGACGGCGGAGCGGGCTGGCCCGGGAACGCTGTCTGACCTGCAAACACACACACACACAAAGTGGGGGAGGGTGGGGGGGTGGTGTTGAGGGAGGAGTGGGGGGGAAAGAAGGGGGAAGAACAAGTCATTGTACAATACAATACCACAGTTACGCAGCTTCTCTCACGTCGGGAGAGCGTCCCAAGGTGCTGGACAGGCAGGGTTTCGGACCCGAGCTGGGGGTGGGTCTATCTCTCTCTCTCTGTCTCTCTATGTCTATCTGTCTGTGTCTCTCTCTGTCTGTCTCTCTCTCTTTCTTTCTTTTTCTGGTAAAAATAACGGAAGACGAAATGTAAATTTCTGCGGCTTAACAACCTCTTTCGGGCGAAAGAAGACCGAGATCTCGTCCAGTTCACCCTCCTGGCCCACTCCGACGTGCCTTATCCCCAAAACCGCCCCGCGCGCGGAGAGAAAAAAAAAAAGCAAACCCCCAAAACCCCGTCTCTTTCCAACACCTTCCCAAAGGGGAGCGCTCGGCGCTCTCGGCCTCTCACCGTGGGGAATGTTGGGCGGCTGGGCGGTTTGCTGGGGTTGAGCTTGAGGGGCGGCCGTCGTCTGTTGTTGCTGCTGCTGTTGCTGTTGGGGGGCGGCGGGGGGCTGGGGCACGGCCGAGGTCATGGTGTCCCCCGAGGCCTGGCTGACCGGCGCCTGCTGGATGGCTGCGGGGGGCACGGGCTGCACGGAGGCTGGCAGCAGCCCTGGCTGTTGGCTGGGCTGAGGGCCCGAGGGCAGCTGGTGCTGCTGTTGCTGCTGCTGCATCTGTTGGAAGTGCTGCTGCCGCGCTCGCATCTCCGCGTACTTCAGCTGCTCCATGTGGAAGGCCTGTCTGTCGGACAGCAGCTGCTGCCTCTGGTACTCCAGCTGCCACCACAAGACCACACGACCTTTTAGCCCTTTCGCACCGTGACGTTTTCCCCGTCTCCCCGTCTCCCCCCCCACCCCCACCGCTTCCTTCCCCATCTTCAGGTCGTGCCCCCACAACCCCACCACCACCTCTCTCTCTCTCTCTCTCCTCCATTACATCAATCGATCTCAATCAAGATTCCTCTCACTCTCGTCTTCAAATCCCTTCAGGCACCGGCACCTCCCACATCTCCGACCTGTTTACTCCCCCCTCCACGCACCCCCCCACCAACCCACTGTCTGGACTCCTGCATGTCCTCCGCCCGCCCGCCCACCCGCCCTCCATCCCTCGGCATCCGCGCTTTCAGCCGCTGTGCCCCGAATCCCTGGAAAGCTCTCCCTCAATCCCTCTGCCTCGCCCACCTCCCTTCCCCATCTGCAGCTCGCGACTGAAGACCTTCCTGTTCAACCAGCGACTACGGTTTGAGGGGTTCGAGCCCCGAGGTCGCGGTCACTCACCGCCTCTCGCTCCCGGTCCATGATGGTCTCCAGCTCCTCAAAGTGCCGCAGTTTGATCTCCAGCTTCTTCATCTGCGTCTCCACGAGCAACGCCACCAGCGACTTGATCTTCCTCTCCTCCACCGCGGCCAGGTGCTGGAACACCACCACCACCACAACAACTCGCAACTTCATTCACATAGCTGGGTAGCGCCCCGGAGCGCCTGAGCAACAGCGGCGAGCCTGTCGCCGTTGTCATCGCCGCCGTAAGGCGAGGCACGGCGGAGGCTCTTTCGTTCTTTACCCACCGGCTCCCGCTTGTCCCTCGCGCGCGCCCTCGGTCTCCGTTCCCCCCACCACCACCGCAGCAGCCGGCCGCGCTTTCAGCCACGATGCACCCCCCACCCCGCCACCCCCGAGGGTCCACCCAGTTCGCCTTCCGCCAACCGCAGGCCGTTTGCGCTCTGACTCAACTCACCTTGGCCTTGACAGCGGCTGCTGCTAGTGCGGCTGCAGCGGCCGTGGCCAGGTTCCCCTCCCCGATGTCCCGCTCCACTTTGGCTTTCTTCTCCGCGTCCGTCTCCACGTCCTTCTTCCCGTCGTCTTGGAATTCTTTGTTTTCTTTGTCCTTCTCCGCCTCGGCTGGAGGGTAAGGGATCGGGGGGTGGGTGGGGGAGGGAGCGAAATGAAGATTACACTCGCATGAAGTGACCGACTGTGGATAAAAACATCCACAAACAAACGACACTTGCACAGCGAGTGCCCTTCATGTCGGAAAGACGTCCCAGGGCGCTGGACAATCGGGGGTTTTTGGACCCGAGCTGGGAGTTGGGGTCAGGAGGGGAGGAGGGAGGGCAGGGGGGTGGGGCCGGGGTAGGAGGGTGGCCGAAAGGAAGGTGTTTAGATGGGATTTAAAGGAGGCGAGAGAGGGGGTGAGGTGGAGGGGATGTGGGATGGAGTTCCGGAGTGTGGGGGCAGAGAGGCCGAATGCTGGGGCGGGAAGTGTGGGGGACCTGAAGCGGGCGGGAGCGGACAGACCGACTATGAGGGCTGCGAGACAATGAACGTACGACGGACACTTTCCAGTGGTCTGCGCTGAGTCGGGAACGAGAGGCCGAGGGTTTAAAGCGACGGCAGAAAATGAGTTGACGAGGCCAGTAAAACACCAGCACGGCCTGGACCTACCGATCTCCGCGTCGGACTTGTCGTTCTCCTTCTCCGCCTCGCACTCTTTTCCTTTCTCTTCTTCCTTCCTGGAAGCCTCCGACTGCTTCTCCTTATTCTCGTCCTCAGTCGGCGCCTCCTTGTGCTCCTTGTTTCGCCGCGAGAGAGAGAGAGAGAGAGAGAGAGACAGCGGGAAGAAGTAAATGGTCGAAGAAACGCGAAAAAAAAAATGCAACAACAACTCGTATCTGTGTAGCGTCCCAGAGGGGGGGGTGGGGGAGGGGGGAGACAAGGTGTCTCTCCCCCACCCCCAGCAACCCACCCCCCCACCATCCCCAGGTCACTTAGTTAATCGATTGACGGATCACTTTGCCGGAGGCGATAATCCTTCCAAAGCAACGACAGCAACGACAAGAGCGGTCGCTGAATCCGCCACTGTTTGTGGGGACGCTGCTGTGCGTAACTGGCTTCTGCGTTGCGCCCACAAAATACACGGTCGATTCCCCCCTTGTGGTGTATTCCCCGAGAAGCGCTTTGAGGCGCTGCATTAGTATTATTACTATTATTATTATTATTATTATAAAGTCTCACCTTTGCTTCTTTTTTCTCTTCTGCCGTTTGCGCGTCCGACTTCAGCTCATCGGCCCCCTCCTCTGAGAAAAGGAGCGCAGGAGGGGTGGGTGGGGCAGGGGGGAAATAAGAGAATTATTTTTTCTGGCGGGGGTGGGGGGTGTGAGAGGGGATAGGGATTTATCCCACCCCAATGTTCTCCCCTCCCCGAGTTGCCGAAAATTTCTGTGCAAGACATTTGTCCTCTGATATACCTTTTGAGCGTGAGCCTAGCCATACAGATACACACACGCACGCACACGCACATGTGCGCCCCCAAACGTGTACACATGTCCACACGCGCACGACACGCGAGCGCGCACACCCACCCGTGTAAACACACGCGCACGCGCACACACTCACGCGCACACTCGATCGCTGCGGGGTCAACAGCCACAGACACGCTTAATAACTGGACAGGGGATTGACTTGACGCTTCTTGCCTGATTTCTCCGGCTCATCCGGGGTCGTCCCCGCGATCCCACTGCTGTCCAGGCCGTACGTGGGATCCGCTTTCCCGGTCACCTTGGCCGCGTCCTCCACCTTCTTGATATGAGCTTCGACCAGAGCCGCCGGCACCTCCTCCTTCATCTTGGAGAACTCCTCTGGGCGGGGACACAGAGACCCAGCGGTCAGCCACGCAGCTCACGGGACACGCCACACACACACACACACACACACACACGCCACACACCAACGCGTGGCGGGTGGTAACAGTGTCCGTTATTATTATTATATATCATTATAATCCCTTCAAAATAAACACACTTCAACCCACGGCTGTTTGTGGGGGACGTCGTTGGGCGCAATTGGCTGCCGCGTTTCACCCGCAAAACAGTCACTACACTTTACAGCGTGTGCCGTGAGGTGCTTCAAGGCGCCTCGAAGGCGTGATCAGGCGCCGGGTCGAACGCCAGGACTGTTACTGTTGTCGACAGCGCGGCACAGGCTTACCCAGCGCTGACTTGGCTGCTGCAGAGGCCACTCGTGGGTCGACCACGGAGGCGAGGAAGGCCACGGTGCTCATGACGGGGTTGCCTGACTGGCTGAAGGGGATGGGCTGGTAGGCCAGGGGTCCCAGCGAGGCCTCCGAGTCCTCCAGGTAGGGGTCCTCGATCGGCAGCCGCAGGAAGTGCAGGATACACTCGTCCTGCGTCCGGCTGCCCACATGCTCCGAGACTTTATTCCAATCGTCTTTGTACATCTCCAGGGCCTGGCGTTGGGGGAGAGAGAAGGGGGGGGTGTGTGGAGGGGGGGCAGCGATTAGTGACGCACAATAATAATAATAATTTATTTGTGGACGTATGTGGTAGTTTAAAAGGGGGGAACGGGTGGGGCTTGAAAAGCAGGGAAAAGCCGCAATGGAGGTGCTTACTTACCTCAAGCAGTAAGAGTGTCTCCTGTTCTGTCCATTCTCGTGTTGCACAAGCTGCCGCCTTACTCTGGGGGTGTGAATGGGCGGGCGGGCAGGGGGGAGGGAAGAGAAAGAATGAGATCCATGTACTAAAGGTCCACGTCTACGGTTTCTCCCTCCACCACCACCACCACCACCACCACCACCGTGCGGAAACGGGGTAACTAACTGCTCACAGCAGCGTCCCCACAAACAGCCGCAGAACGAGTGACCAAATTATTATTATTTCGGAGGGAGCGTTATCCCCGGAAAGCGATCGCCAATCGACTAACGACTAGGTTGCTACTTACTGCTGGTAAACAGAGGCGCGCGTGTGTGTGTGTGTGTGAGGGGGGCGAGGGGGGGTAAGGAAACTTCGAGAGGCGAGGGCTCTAACCACTGACCTCCGTGGACAGAACTTGAACCATTATTTACCAACAAAGCATCTCCTTGTCAGACTGCAGACTGAACCCCGGGCTGGAAGCCCCGTCTCACCTTAGAGGGGACGTTTTTCTTGGCGTACATGTCCGTGCGCAGCCCAAAGTTCTGCATGTCTGCCGTCTTCTCCTTGTTTTTGTCGGGGAAGTTGAGCATTTGCTGGGACGCAGACGACTGCAGGAAATAATAATTAATATTAACAGCCCTCGCATTTGATACGGCGCCTGATCACGCCTTCGAGACGCCTCAAAGCGCTTCGCAGGATACACCGTAAAGCGGAGTGACCGCGTGTTTTGGGGGCGAAACGCGGCAGCCAATTGCGCACAGCGGTGTTCCCACAAACAGTCGTAGAATGAGCGACCAAATCATTACCCACATCAGGAGGATGTCTTTTTTTTTGGGTGGGGTGGGGTGCAAACAGACCTGGGGGGCTTTGGGTTGAAGAGGCACGAGGCCAGAGGGTGTGTCCGCCAGCACATGGAAATGTGAGGTGGGGGGAGGTCCCATAGGGGTGGGTCTGCTCTCTGCGTCCACTTGATAGTTGATCAAACCCCACTGCTCCAGGAAAGCATGAACCCTGCAGACATCGGTGAGTGGCAAACAGGCGGGTCATTTATAACAGCAGCAGCTTGCGTTTGATACAGCGCCTTTTCTCCCAAGCGACTAACGACCGGGTTCCTACTCACTGCTCGGGAAACGGAGACTCTCACGTGCGTGCGGAGTAAGGAAACCCGCGCAAGGTTTCCCCCCCCCCCCCGACCCGCCCGGGAATCGAACCCGGAACCTCTCGCTTGCGAGACGAGCGCCGTAACCGCTACTCTACGGGACTTCCACCGCAGCAACCCACCTCATGATAGCGCACACGTCCCCCGCCAGGTTCCTACGGCAGGCCGTGGAGGTAAGATATTCCTGGGGATTCAGGCGGTACGTGTCAATCATAAAATTACGGTATGCCAGATAACTGTCAAGGGGAAAAGAGAACAATTCTTTATTATCAATAATAATAATAATCATAAGCCTTACATTTGATACAGCGCCTTATCACATCGTTGAGACGTCTCAAAGCGCTTCACACAATATATCGTCCTTTAGGCTAACAAATCGTGTATTTTTTTTTGGGGGGGGGGGGGTCAGTCAGGGGTGTCTGACACACGCGGAAAAGGGTCTCCAAATCAAGCTGAGAATTCTCTCTATCTCTCTCCCTGGAGGGACACCCCCCCGCTTACCTAATTCCGGAGAGTATTAGGCGCAGGTTGGCGAGAGCCAAGGCTTGTGGGGTTGGTGAGGGGGGAGCGGTAGGGGAGCCCAGAGTGTGCATTGAGGGTAACCAGGTAAACTCACACAGAGTTTGGCCATCGAGAGAGAGGGAGAGCGCGCGCTGTCTGTCCATGCTTTCCCGCTGCTCGTCCAGCTAGGACCCCCCTCCCCGCCAGGTGTCACGCAGGCCAACCAACGCACGTTAACGTAACGCGGGCCGGAAAAACACAAAAGCTCGTCTCCTCAGCGCTAACCCGAGGTCACACTCGCCAGCGCAGAGGCTACTCACATTTCCGGGGTCTTGGACTTGTTTTTCCCGTTGAAGAATTCCGGGAGAGCGCGTCGCTCGATGGCGTGGACGCTGTCGGGGGAAAAAAGAGGGAAAAGTTCAGACGCTGTTGCGGGGAAGGAGGGAATAACGGAAACGGAATCGGGGGGGCGGGGGAAGTTTTGAACGCCTCGATTTAAACCTGCCCCTCAACCGAACAGAGGAGACAGACGGCGGGCGCGCCCTGATTTGCTCTACCTGTTGTAGTCGAACCAGGCGGCGTAGCTGGGGATGATGATGTGGTGGGTTTGCTCGGTCACGTTGTCCTCGTGTAGGTCGGTGTTCTTCGTCTGCTCGCCCTTCCCCCCCGCGGAAGTGTCCTCCTCGTCCTCAAACAACACGAGTTCCGACGAGGGTTGAAATAATAAGAAGAGTAACGATGAATAAACAATTGCAATAGTAATCCTCGCATTTATTTGACGCAGCCCCTCGTCGTGTCTTCCGAGACGGCTCAAAAGCGCTTCACGGGATACGCCGTCGAGTGAATTGACCCGCCGTGTGTTCTGTGAGCGAAAACGTTTGGAGTTGTGACCGGACGTGACCTCCTTCTCTCTCTCTCTCTCTCCGCCCCCCACACCCCCCACTCCCTCTCTCCCTCGCTCCCCAACCCGCCCGCACGCCCACGCCATCAATGCGCTAATAAGCAGGTTTGAAAATAATCATGTGAGGGCAAGAGTCGTGAGCGCGAAGACGCACTGGATTCAAGATGGAGCCTACCTTGCCTGTGGTCTCCAAGTTATCCTCCTCCTGCTCCTCTGCCAAAAGAGATCACACAGCCCGTTAGGCTCAAAGGCAACGGATTGCATTTGCACAGCGCCCCCGCGCAGGCTGGCGTCCCAGAGCGCTTGCCAGTGACAGTGGGAGAGAAGAGGGCGCGTGCAGAGGTGACCAGGGACGCGGTCGAAAAGGAAGGCCTTCAGGCCGCCACCTGAAGACGGGGAAGGAAAGGGGGGCAAGGCGGAGGGACAGGGGGAGAGAGGGTAACACTGGGTTTCGGGGATGCAGTGGCTGAAAGCGCGGCTGCTGGAGCGGAGGGCACGAGGGACAAGCAGGAGGCTGGAACCAGTCGACCGGGTAACGGGATAGGGGATAAGAACCATTTGAAGGACTGCGTCTCCGGTATTGCAGCCCCCCCCCACCACCTCCCCTCCCCCCAGCAGCGCCCCGCGCTCCTCACGCAGGATAGCGTCTCGGAGCGCTTGACAGTGGCGGAGCACTGGTTCACTGGGTCACTGAGCCACCCGTACCTTACCTAAATCAGTCATGGTGCCACCTTTCACTGGAGCTGTCTCGGAGTCTTTCTTGGTATTCACTACAACATCCAAAACACCAGAGTTATGGCTAACAATAATAATCCTTGCATTCGATATAGCGCTTTTCACGTCTCGTGAGCGAAACTCGTGAGAGGAAGAGAAAGAGAGAGAGATTTCGTACCGGTCTTGGGCAAGGTGACCTCTTCCACGTTGGGGACAGGGGAGGGTTCGTCCATGTCTTTGGTGAGGTCCTCCTGGTCCTCCTCTCGGTGGCCACGCTTTGACTTGGTGTATGGTGTGGCAGGACTGCGTCTTAAAGCAAGGTGCAATGCGGTAATCCGCTCAGGAGCACAAGCCTTTCCTGACTTCCGTCTCCTTACGTCTTATAACAACAACGTGCATTTATATAGCGCCCTTCACAGCGCTTGTCTTAATAATAATAATTATAATATTCCTTATGTTTGATACAGCGCATTAACGCCACTTCCAGACGTCTCAAAGCGCTTCACAGGACATACTGTTAAGTGTAGTGGCTGTTCGTTTTGTGGGCGAAACACAGCAGCCAATTAGTTGCGCACAGCAGCGTCCCCACAAGCGGGAAGTGCGGAGTGAGCTGCCAGATTGGGATGGGGTGGGGAATGGGGGGATTGGGGGGGAACAAGGGAAGTGTCTCACCCTTTCTTGGGGTTTTTTTTCTTGGAGTCGGGGGTGGGTGAGGGTGATGGGGAACGCTTCCTCTTCTTGTGGCTGCTCCCCTTCTTGTCTCTCCTATCGGAGTCGGGGCTGTGCACCTTAAAATACACGTCGAAGTAAACAAAAAAAGTGCCCCCCGAAAGCTTTCAACATTACCCCCCACCCCAACCCCACCCTCACTCCCCCTCCTCCACCGCGCGGGCTTGTAGAAACTGCCCAGAATCTCATCCAAGGATCCGTTCCTCCCAACGAACTTGCATTTACACAGCGCCCCCTCATGCAGGGCAGCGTCCCAAAGCGCTTGACAGTGGTGGAACCCTTCTAACCCCTCCTGATCCCAACCCCCAGCTCGGGTCCAAAGCCCTGACTGTGCAGCCCAGCGCCTTGGGACGTCCTCCCGACGTGAAAGGCGCTGTGCAAATGTCATTGTTGTTGCTGCTGTTGTTGTTGTTTGTAGGCACGGTCGAAGAGGAAGGTCTTCAGGGCCGATCTGATGACGTGGAAAGAAGGGGGCAAGGCTGAGGGATAGAGGGAAAGTGTCCCAGGGTATTGGTATGACAACAACTTGCATGTATATAGCACCTTTCTCTGAGCGTTTAGGGGTAGTGGGGATGGATGGGGGGGGGAGGGGGGGGGGCGGGATGTGAGCATGTTTTTACTAGGATCTAATCGAGGCAATTAAAAAATAAAATGACAAATCCTTTCACTAGAAAAAGGTTCAACGGAAGCTAAGTGACCATTTCTGCCGTTCGAGGAGTCGGTCGGTAACCAGAGGAAACAACAGGAGGAGAGAGTAAAGAGAGAGCGAGAAAGAGAGAGAGAGAGAGAGCAAGCGAGCGAGAGAAAAAAGGGTGGTTGCGATTTATTTTACACAGAGAATTTGTGGAATGTGCTCCACCACAAAAAGGCTACTGATGAGAGCCATGCCTCTGTTACCGTTTAAGAGGGAAACGGATTATTTAGGGAGGAAATAATAATATTTAAATAGGGAAATGCTGAGGGCATGGAGTGGGGGTGGAGGGGGAGGGTGGTGGGGGGGTTGCGGGGAAACAGGGCTGATCATTCAGAGCAGGGGCTGGGCTGAGGGTGTGTCAGGGAGGAATTTCTGTGAGAGAGAGAGAGAGAGAGAGAGAGACTGGTTTGAAAGGCTGGCCCGGTTGACACACAATGGAGCGTGTCCGCTAACTGACCGACTTACTAATTAACTGTCCAACAAAGAAAGCTCACCTCAAGCTGTCTCCGGTTTAAAGAGGAATGCATAATTCAGTTCGCGGGCATGGCAAGGGGCAGAGATCAGAGGTCAGAGGCTACCCTGAGCTGAGCACGTCGGCCCGGCCCGGCCCAGCCCAGCCCCGCCAGGGCTCAAACTGGTCTCAAGCTCACACGGGCTGACGTGACGTAACGGAGAGTTTAAGCTGCGCTGCTTTCTGATCAATTCCAGACAGGAACGGGTTGTGGTCTCGCAGCAGGGTGTTTTGATTAGATCAGAAATTGTGAGGGACAAAGAGCGATTCTTGAAACCCCTCCACCGTTCTGCCCGGGTTACACGCACAGCCACGCTGTCGAGACACCGTTATTGTCTGGCCCCCGAGGTGCTGGACGGTCAGGGATTTGGACCCGAGCCGGGGAGGGGGTGGAGGGTCGGAATCAGGAGGGGTGGACAGACGGCAGGGTGGGGGTAGGAGGTTGACCAAAGTCTCGGTCGAAGAGGAGGGTCTTGAGATGAGCCTTCATCGCCTGAAACTGTAGCTCCAACCTCTCCGCAACCCCCTCCCCAGAGAGCGAGCGAGAGAACGAGGGAGAGAGGGAGCCATTTACAAGTGAGAAGCAATCACCTCTTCGGTCAAGGTTTTGGCCGAAATTCTTTTCCTCCGCACCACGGGATTCCGCTCATCATTCACCTCGTAATCTTCCTCGTTCATCCATTCGTTGAAAGTGTCAGTGTCCATTATCCACTTGGCGTGGACCTGCCAAGCAACCAGATTGTACACAGGGTTTTGCTAATGTATTGGCCCACGTACATTCCAGGAAGGTTTACAATGACAGTCAGGGATTTGGACCTGAGCTTGAGATCAAGAGGGGAGGGGTGGGAGGGAGGCAAAGGGACTGGGGTGGAGTTCCAAAGGGTGGGGGCTGAAGGCTTGACCGCAGTGGGGCAGGCTGGGCTGGGCCGGGCGGGGGACGTGGAGCAGGCCAGAGCCCACTGAGCGGAGGGAGCGGACAGGTCATTAACTAGCGTCCAAGACAGACAGACCAGACAGACACGGTGCCAGACTATAGCGATGAGCAATGTGTTGGTCCCAACCCAACACCCTGTAGAGGAACATGAGGATGAGATTAAACCTTCATCACCTTGCGGGGTCGCTCTGCGGATGGCGGGTCCTCAATCGACGCCTCGATCTCGTTGGCTGGAATCCACGTGTCGTAACTGGAGGGAAAAGAGCGCGAGAGAGAGAGAGAGAGAGAGAAAGAAAGGGAGAGAGACAGAGAGAGAGTAAGGTCCTATTCTTTCCCAGGTTAATGTCTCATCCAAAGGACGACAGCTCCAACGATACAACACACACACACTCTCACCCCCACCCCAGCGCTCCATTGGAGCGTCATCTTAGACGCGGGGGAGGGTTTGAACCCACAACTTTCTCAATCGAGAGGCGAGAGTGCTTAGCCACCGACCGAGCCAGGCTGAGGTGCACGGTCAGTCCCGTCTCCCCTAAAGGCTTTAGCTTCTCGGGTTGCCGTCCTCCCCGGCCCCTCCAGTCCGTGGAGCATTTGACCCAGCGCCTTGTCACGTCTTCCAGACGTCTCAAAGCGCTTCTTCACGGGACACACCGTGAAGTGGAGTGACTTGTGTACTTTGTGGGCGAAATGCGGCAGCTACAATCGCGCACAGCGGGCGTCACCCCCCCCCACAAAGAGTGATGAATCGAGCGACTAAGGTATCATTGCGTTTTTTTTTAAGGGATTATCAACTCGTGGAAAGAGATTCGCCAATATTTGTTTTGCTAACGAGAGACAACACACCCACGTACTTGGGTAACCCCCCCAGATAGTTACCTGTCCGGGGAATATCCCCAGTGCAGGAGGACCTGTTTTTCCCTCTTCATTACCGGCCGAACCCACTCTTCTGTAGAGGAGACGGGACACGAGTTAGAAGGGGTGAAGCTGCCACATGACAATTCAGTTGCCTTTGGAACTCCACCGCGCATTCCCTTTGCCTCGCTCAGTGCTTTCCTCCTTCAAGGCCCGCCTCAAGACCCCGCTCTTCGACCGTGCCTTTGGTCACCCCCCTACTCTCCCTGCCCTCCACCCCCTCCTGATCCCAATCTCTCCCCCCTCTCAACCTCACCCCCCCCAGCTCGGGTCCACCCCCCTGACTGTCCAGCGCCTTGGGACGTCCCGCCCGACGCGAAAGACGCCGTGTAAACGACACTTTGCATCGTATTGTACCTTCAACCGCTCAACCGTTAGCGTTCCCAAAACCTCAGCGCTTAGTCCTGCTTTAACAATAATAATCCTTGCATTTGATGCAGCGTCTTATCACATCGCTGAGGCGTCTCAAAGCGCTTCGCAGGACGTAAAGTAAAGCGGAGTGACTGCGTATCTTGTGGGCGAGCCGCGGCAGCCGACTAGGCACGGCAGCGTCCCACAAACCGTCGTGGGGCGAAGTGACCGAATTACTATTATTGTTGTTGTCGTTTAATAAGAAACAGGGACGAAAGAAACGGAGGAACGGGGAAACCTCACCTTCCTCGGCGCTGCCGGGGACAGGAAAGACGATGTGCGATGCGTTTGACTTCTCTTCTGTCACCGTTCCCTGTCGCAAAAGCACAATCACACCATCAATGCCACAGAGAGAGAGAGGGAGGGAGAGAGAGACCGACCCGCTCGGACACATTAAGTGCCTCTTCCTCTCCTCTGGCTGTGATCAGCACAGCTCTCTACACGCCTCAGTTCTACTTTAAGCAACGGCTGAACCACCACCACCATCATCAACAACAACTACAACAACAACAACGTGCATTTACACAGCGCCCCCTCAGGCAGGGTAGCGTCCCAGAGCGCTTGACAGTGGCGGCGCTGGGGAGAGGGAGGAGGGAGAGAGAGAGTTCCAGAGTTTTGGGAGGGTAGTGGCTGAAAGGCGTAGCTGCCGATGGCAGAGCGGAGGGCGCGAGGGACAAGCAGGAGGCTGGAGCCGGTCGAGCGGAGGCAGGGTGCAGTGGGTTGGGGGGGGGGGTAAGCAGGTCGGAGCGGGAGGGAGGTGCCAGGGCGCGAAGGGATTTGAAGATGTACCAATAGGACCCACATGGACTGACCTGGTGCCTCTTAACGATGTCTTTCAGCTTACTCAGCACCTTGGGCTCAATTTCGGAGTTCAGGTAAATGTTGGGCCGGGACAAGCAGTTGTTCTGCGGGAAACAAATAAGCGGCAGAGACGTTGCCTCCGGAAAACTTTCAAGGAACGCACAATTGAACGTGAATGCCTTTCAATTTCCACCCATTCCCTTCGCCCCATAGACTGTGCACAGCCTCTACACGTTGTACGTAACACTCTATACACACACATATATACACACACACACACATCCCCACGCACTCACTCTGTCTCACAATAACAACAACTTGCATTTACACAGCGCTCCCTTCGCAAGGCGTAGCGTCCCGGAGCGCTTGACAGTGGTGGAGTCTGACCCCGAGCCAGGTGGAGAGGGGCGGGGGGGGGGGGTAAGGTGACCGTAAGCACGATCAAAGAGGAAGGTCTTTTTAAGCGGGATTTGAAAGTAGGGAGAGTGACATTGAGAGTTAAATTCCCTCAAACTACATACACACACACACACAATCTCACACCCTGTACACACACACTCACACACACTGTCTCACACTCTACACAGCAATAATAATCCTTGCATTCGATACAGCGCCTTATCATCATCTCCGAGACGTCACAAAGCGCTTCACAGGACGCGCTGTAGAGTGAATTGACTGTATATCTTGTGGGCGAAGCGCGGCAGACAATTGCGCACACACTCTGCCTCACGCCCTAAACACACACACACACGCGCGCGCAGCTCACGTCGCTACCCATCTGAATGATCCGTTACCTGAACCAGAGACTTTTCAATGGTCATAAACATCTCCACGTTGCGGTCCATACGAGATGGGTTCTGAAAGTCGAAGCGTCGCCTATAAACAGCACATAATAATAATAATAAAATAATAATAATATAATAATCCATTCAATTGGTGATAAATAAATCCGTGGCCATGGGGGTGGGGGGGGTGGGTGGGGTCTGAGAGAGATCTGCCTGGTTATATTGTCAACACAAGACAAGGTGACGGGGTGGGGGGAGAGGGGAGGAAGATGACCGAAAGCTTACCATCCTTGGTCACTCTTGAATTTGTACGCAGCTGCGAGAATATGGCACAGAGCTCCTCCGGCTTTGAAATCCAGAAAGCATTTCATCTGGAAGTGAGAGAGAGATTGAGAGAGTGTGGATCACATGTTCACGTGTTAAACTGGGAGTTGGGGGGTGGGTGAGGAGGAAGAGTTAAAGCAAAGCCCACCCACGGGTGACGTGAGGGCTGTGAGTGAGAGCGGGCGGTGTGTGTGAGCAGGGCTGTGTGTGTGTGTGTGTGTGTGTGTGTGGTGTGTGTGAGCTGGGCCGTGTGTGCGTGTGTGTGTGTGTGTGTGTGTGGTGTGTGTGAGCTGGGCCGTGTGTGCGTGTGTGGTGTGTGTGAGCTGGGCCGTGTGCGCGCGTGTGTGTGTGTGCGGTGTGTGTGAGCTGGGCCGTGTGTGCGCGTGCGTGTGGCGTGTGCGTGCGGTGTGCGTGAGCTGGGCCGTGTGCGCGTGACGCGCAGGGCTGTGCGTTACAGGGAGGTCGCGGGATGGAGGACTTACAGGCAGTTTGGTGAGTGGAGGATTGCTCACATGTTTCCCAAACACCTCCTCCTGGAACTGCAGCAGCTGCACCACGAGGCTGGACAGGGACTTGTTGGTCGGAGGCTCTGCCTGAATGTACTGGAGGGCACGACAATACATCAGAGACACGGGAACGTCGCCGCGGCCGCGCACGACGCGGCACCAGCGAAACGCGGCCGCGCACGACGCGGCACCAGCGAAACGCGGCCTCGCACGGCGCGGCACCAGCGGATTTGCAATCACGCCACCAAAATCCCCCCCCCCACCCCCCCCCGTCCCTTGCTGCTGCCCAGGCCCTTTAGTGCTGGGCTGTGTGTGTGTGTGAGCGCGGGGGGGGGGGGGGGGGGGGGTGTGTGCGCGTGTGTGTGTCTGTGTGTGTGTGTGTGTGTGCGTGTGTGTGGGGGGGGGGTGTGGGCGACAGTTAGGATTTTCGCCCACAACATCCACAGTCGACTTCCCTTTACCGCGGGTCCCGCGGAAGCGCTTCGAGAGACGCCTCGACGGGGCCTCCCGTCGGGAGGGCGTATTATTATTATTACTATTATTATTATTATTTCATATTATTGATCATCGCCACGACTGAAATAACGCTCGGCCGGTTCCCGATCGATCTCGTCTCTCCGAAGCGCTTCGAGACGTTTGGTTTCCCACGTGAAAAGGGCCGGAACAACAACAACAACAACGACCACCACCACCACGAGGAATAATTAACAACAATCACGTCCCTTTGCGTTGGGGGTCCCGGCGCCTTTCGTGGGATACACCGCGATTGGGGGGGGTGGGGGTGTGTGTGTGTGTGTGTGTGGGGGGGGGGTGTGGGGGGGGGGTGTGTGTGGGGGGGGGGGGATGGGGGGGAATTGTCGGCCAGGACAGTGGGATGGAGAGAGGGAGAAACCCCCTTCGAATAGGGGCAGAAGGACGTCCACCTCTTAAAGGTCCACCTGAACAGGGGAGGGGGGGGGAGTGAGGTCTCACGTCTCGTCCGAAGTGACGGTGACCCCACCCACACCACCTTCCCCCCCACCCCGAGCTCACCCCCCCACCTCGCAGCGTCGGAGGAGAGAGAGAGAGATGGTGGGGGGTGGGATATACTTGGAAGTTACCAGAAGAAGCTAAGTACTGCCCCCGGTCTCCTTGACATCAACAACAACAACCGCCGCCGCTCACATCTCCACACATCGCCCCTCACGCAGGACAGCGCCTCAGAGCGCTTTAACACGTCGCCCGTCAGCTCCGGCTCGGCCCCTCGCGCTCTCGCCTCCCGGATCAGACGGCCGCCCCGAGACCCCATCTTACCCTCCATCGACCGCGCATTCGGTCACCCTCCTAACCCAACCCCCCCCCCAACCCCGTCCGTCCGTCCGTCCAGCCCCAGGGGTCTCGGGACGTCCTCCCGACGCGTGATAAAAGCCGCCGCGTAATTGCCACCGTTGTCGCTGTCCGGGGTGGGGGGGAGTTTCCCCGAACCCCCCCCCCCCACCCTTCAAATCGACACACGCAGTACCGTCCAGTCCGGGGCTGACGCCTTTGCACCCCCCCCCCACCGCGCCCCCTTAAAAAAAACAGGACCACCCACCCCCCCCCCTCCCCCCGCAACCCCCTCTCCCCATCCCACAGTCCAGCGCCACCAAAACGCTGGCCGCCGGGGTCGCGGGCCGGATGGCGGCCCGCGGGGGGCGGTTTGCGGCCCGCGGGCCGGACCGCGGCAGATGTCTTCCCCTCTATCTCTCCCCCCCCCCACGCGCCCCATCCCACCCCACACACACACAGCTCCTCGCGCCCCCCCTCCCCCGCCGGTCCCGCGGCTCTTTGTGGCGGGAGGAGAGGGGACAGTCGGCTCCGGGCCTCAGGCCTCGGGCTGGAGTTGAGGCCCGGAGCCGCTCCCGGGCGCCCCCTCCCCCCCCCCCCCTCTCTCTCTCTCACCTTCTTGTAGTTCTTGCCGAGCCACAGCCTGACGTTGTCGAACTGCGACACCGAGTCCGACGACTCGAAGTACTTGACGTTCGGGCCGCCGTCCTTCTTCCGCACCGCCATCGCCTCCCGCTGCGCCGCGCCGCTCCCCCTCCCTCCCTCCTGCCCGGCTGCCCTCCCGCCAGCCCGCCAGCGCCCGCGGAGTCACAGCGCCACCCGGCGGCTCCCAGCCGCACTGCACCACCACCACCACACACACACCACCACCACTAGTCACAGCGCCACCCGGCGGCTCCCAGCCGCACTGCAGCAGCACCACACATACACACCACCACCACCACACACCATCTGTCACAGCGCCACCCGGCGGCTCCCAGCCGCACTGCACCACCACACACACACCATCAGTCACAGCGCCCCCCCAGCGCCGCCGCAGTTCTGAACAGCGCCACCCAGCAGCTCCCAGCGGCACTGCACCCTCCCATCTGGAGCCTTCCCCATCCCACCACTTGCCTCCCACTGCAATCCCTGGTGATTTATTGTCAGCGAGAGAGCTGAAGGCAGGATTTAAGCAAGAAACAGCCCTGCCTCAGGCTGATCACTGTCAGATCAGGATTATGGGGTTCAAGCTGCCTCTCCCCCCCCCACCCCCACCCCAATCTGGGCTCACACTCCAGTCGACGCTCCGTTGGAAGGTGCCAACCTTCAGCGGAGGCTTTAAAAGAGAGACCATCGCTGCCCTTCAGAGCCTTCACCGGTTGCTTTAGTGCTCGAGTCTGAAAAGCCAACACAAGGCTGGAGGCAGCACGGCAACACGCATGTATCTGGCGCTTCACAGGGAAGCACCACAGTGACACTTTGGGAAGCTGAGCAAGGGAAGGGAAGGGGTGACCGCAGGCGGTCAGAGCTGGGGCTTGAAAAAAAGTCCCTTAAAGGGATTTGATCTCGCGCCATGGGACATCCTCCAATCATAAAAGGCACTTAGGGATTTAAAGACCAGGTGAGGCAATGAGTTTCAGGGACTCACAGTACAATAATCCTGGCATTTGATTTAGCACCTTTGATCACATCGTCGACACCTCAAAGCGCTTCACAGAATATGTTGTATTAGGGTGCCATTTTGTGAGTTAAATGCAGCAGCAATGGAGCGAGTGACCAAAAGGGAATTGTAGGCGAGGATCTCGAAATCCATCTTTTCGGAACGAGCCGAGGATTGGGATGAGGTTTGGCACACGTGAGCGGGGCAGCGGAGTTTTAGAAGACCGTACCTACACCAAGACCGAGTGTGCCTCTCTTTCAACCATTGGCTTTACATGAAGTAGAAACCCTCACCCATCCCGCTGTGTTAACACTGTCACAGAATCCCCACAGTAACGGTGGGAGATTACTTCAAAAGAATTTTATTGTAGAACTAAAACCTCAACAGGCAAATGACAAAGAGTTCAGTGTGGGCTGTGGAGAACACAAAGGTTAGCCGACAAACATCGGAATCCAATAAACGTGGATTGAACAGTCTGGTCTTCGGGGGGGGAACGAGTTGTGTCTCAGGCAGATAAACGTGCTGACAGCCCAGTTCCCTCGCCTGCCATCGCCGGTCTCATTGGCAACTCCCAGAGGAACATCTAACGGCACCTCTGCCTCATCTTTCGCCTTTTGCGCTTCAGTCTGCATCAGAGAAAAAACAAGGCAATCAGTCCTGGGTGAAGCGGGGAGCAACAACAATAAATGGCATTTAGGCAGCACCTTTTATGTCCGGAGGACGTTCCAAGGCGCTGGACAGTCAGTAATTTGGACCCGAGCTGGGGGTTGGGATCAGGGGGGGTGGTGGGCAGGGAGGATGGGGGTAGGAGGGTGACCAAGGGCGAGGTCGAAGATGAGACTTCAGACAGATCTCTAACTCAGGCTAGAAAACAGTCTTGCTTGGCACATTGCATGCACTTTGAGACAACCCACCCCACCACCCAAGACAGGGCTTAGGCGCCAAGTTTCTGTTTACTGCCTCATCTATGTGTCTGTTCACACCCATAAGCCTTGAGAATGAGGGGGTCAACATTAAACCACAGGGTCTTGCTTGGCATCACTTTACCATTGGAGATTTCCCCTTCAACTTAGGAAACAAAGCCAGAGAGGTAAGGAACGCGCCAGGACCTGACACCCAGTACTGCAGCCAGCCCTCCTGGCTAGTAGAGTTGGTCACGTTGGCAAACCATTTCTCTGTAGCCAGTAACCCATCAGCAGATGGTGGAACTGCCAAGACCACACATCACAATCGCTTCACACACACACACACAGCGACGAGCTGACGTACCTGCGCATTCGCTTCTTCCTCCACTGCAACAAAAAAAACCAGGAAAGATTTAGCGTATTGAAGGTGCACACACTTCCCAACAGACTTGGATGTACAATTTATTACCATTCGGTATTGTAACCACAGTTCTGCCAACTACCAAAAATGCCACCGCCTTGGGCATTCCCACGCCCTGTTGACAGCAGTGCACCCGAAGAGATTCGCTCCCAGTGCAGGATGCAGAAACACGTAATCAAGAGCAATTCATCCCTGTTGCAGCGGCTTGGCCACAATTAAAGAGATTGGGGTGACTTTGACCAGCATCAAAAAAAAACACAGGCGCACGGGCGCCTTGGGAGGACGTCCCGCGGTGCTGGACTGGAGAGCGAAGGATTTTGGACCCGAGCTGGGGGGGTGGGGGTCGGGTTCAGGAAGGGTGGAGGGCAGGGGAGGGAGGGTGGGGTGGGGGTAGGAGGGTGACCGAAGGCACGAGGAGACTGCAACGCACCCATCGCCACGCTTGAGAACCTGCATTGAGGGGAGCGGCCGAGGTGGTGTATAACACAGATCAATAGATAAATATAATTTACATAAGAGGCTTCTATGCATAATATTTTATAGATATATATATGATACGTATATATAATGCACAAATGCATAACACTTTATATATATATATATATACAATATATATCTTATAAATGTATACTTTATAGACACACATATATACAACACACAAATATATACATAACATAGATAACACACATAGAAGCCTCTGAGTTATAGAATACGTTTAATATAAACGAGTGAATATCTTACACAGAGAAACCCCTCTCAGTGACAGAACGCACTTTACGGCAAAGCAGATACCCATCTTTTAAATGAGATCAATTCGTGGAATAAACGTCAAGTTACTGAGAGGGGCTCTTACATTGCAGAATACACTGAAACGTGAAGGCGCAGAGAGGCGCGAACACAGGCATTCAGGTAAAAGAGGCGCAGAAGCCTCCGGAGGGCACAGTGCTGCGTTTCACACCCAACACCCGCATAGGTATTCGTGTGAAATATATTATATTATATTATTATTATTATTGCTATTATTATTGTGATGATGATGATACATTATGGCCTCGGGCCCAGGCAGCCCCTGTAAACACGCGCACAGAGGCCCAGGCGAGAGGAGGAGAGAGAGGAAGGGGGAGAGGGGAGGTTAGGCCCCAAATAATCCACGGTCTTGCTTTGATCCCAAGCCCGATGGGGGGGGGGGCTCACGAACGACTGATTTCCCGGCGAACAACGGCACTCACCTTAGCCCTCATCTCGGAAAGGGGGAAGTCCTGCGAACAGAGAAGGGACAGGGGTTAGCGGCGGCCGCGGATGGCGGGGTTTAGGCCGCGGATGGCACCGGATGGCGGCGGCGGGCGACGGCTCGTCTCACCTCTCACAAAGATGGCGTCGGCCGAAGAGAAAGTCCGCGCGTCGCCCTCGCGGCTATTTGTACCGGGCGCCTGCGTGGCGCGGCGCCCTGCGTCATCGCGTCACGTCGCCCCGCCCGCGCGCCCGCGGTGCACGCTGGGCGTTGTAGTTTTTTTTTCCTTCTCCTTCTTCTCGTGGTGGCATCTTGTTGGGGGCTCCTGTTCATCCCAATTATTGTTATAGTTACAATAATGATCATAATGATAATAATAATAATAATCCTTGCATAAGATATTAGCACCTTATCATGTTCTTGGCGCAAGCCCAATGCTCTGGTCCCAATTGATTCTGCCCGCGATCGAGAGCGAAGGAGGAAACTCTGCGGCTGTCCATAGCGCTTGAATTATTATTATGCATTACTATGGTTGTTGCTATCGTTCAAATCCCAAACTCCTTCCGTCCGTATACTCACCCGCACTAACCGCCCCGTTCACCCCAGTCCTCGCCAGGCTCCACTGGCTCCCTATCACACAACGGATCTATTTCAAGATCCTCACATTCACCTTCAAATCCCTTCACACCCTGGGACCTCCCTACTTCTCCGACCTGCTTACTCCACAACGCACTAACCGCTGCCTCCGCTCGACTGGCTCTGGCCTCCTGCTTGTCCCTCATGCCCTCCGCTCCATCGCCAGCCACTACGCCCCGACAGACCGGTCACTGGGGGCAGGGAATCCTCCCACTTAGCTCCTGTTAACCCTGAAAGCCAAAGCCCTAACGGGTAGGGTGATCCTAGCTGGAAAGCTGAGAGGTGGAGAGGAGAAAGATGAGCGAAAGTGCGATCAAAGAGGAAGGTCTTGAGACAGTCCTTGAAAGGGGAGAGGGAGCCAGAGGGATTCCGGGATAGAGTTCCACAAGTTGGATCCATTCAAATTTTCAAGACTGAGGTGAACAGATATCTGTTAGGTCGGGGTATTAAGGGATACTGGGCAAGGGTAGGTAATTGGAGTTGAGGTACAGATCAACCAAAGTCTAATAGAATGCAGAACAGGCTCGAGGGGCTGAATGGCCTCTTGCTGGTCCTGTGTTCAGAGAGTGGGAGCAGATAGGTTTGATAAAATCAGAAGCAGAACAAAAGGGCACTGGTTTCTCTGGGGGCGAGAACATTAGCACAGACACAAAGGATCAAGTGGCTCCTTTCTGTGCTGCATAAATCATTCTAAGTGCCAAAGCCAATCTATTCCATCTATAGCTCTCGCCTCTTCACTTTGACCCATTGTACTTATTCCCACCCATTCATCACTTCACACAAGCCAAGAGCCCTCAATTACTTCATCCCACGAGTAGCCATTCTTCCTGTGGGAGTTGGAGTGAGCGGAAGCAGTGAAACATTAACAGGCTGTGCGAGTCCCGTTAACTCTTGTGCACAAGTGAAGCCCAGTAGAATAAAGAGGACACGGAATGGCAAAAGGGCCATTTCAGGAAGTGTTCCTTTACTCAGAGGGTAACTCTGGAACAATGTCTCTCAATCCCTCTGCCTTGACCCCCTCCCCTCCCCTTTTTCAAATCCCACCTGAGAACCTTCCTCCTCGACTGTGCTTATGGCCACCTCCATCCCCCCCGGCTCGGAGTCAGGCTCCACCACTGTTAAGCGCTCTGAGACTCTGCCCTGCGTGATGGGCGCTATATACGTGCAAGATGTTGTTGTTTTAATCAAGGACTGGAACAAGGTTGCCAGGAAGGGTGAGGGTTGGTTAGGACCAGGGACATTGAGACTCGTTTAAAAAAAGCAGCTCGATGCTGTGATGGGGGGAATGGGAGGGCGGGTGTTGCGGAGGCGATGAGATGGGGTTGGCCAAAGGGCCTTCTTCATGCCGAACCCACCTTGTGATCTTCTATGACCTGATCATTTCCTAGGAGCTGCTTTGAGCCAACGAGCCATTGAAATGGGAGACCTTTTTGGGTCTTAGGACAATGTATCAAACGGGACCTTTCCTCAAACCACTTTGCGAGACAGACAGAAAGTAAGAAAGAAAGAAACAGGAAAAGGGTATTGTTTAGTCTGTTGGATTTATTGGGTTATATTTGCCGCTGAGAGTGTGTGTGTGCGGGGCTGAGAGTAATACACACACACGGGCGGGCGGGGGCTGGGGTGGTGGGGGGGTTGGAGTTTAATCTTCCAGGACCCGGCGGAAGGAACCAACCCTGGGGTTGGGGGCTCCCCAGTCAGTGTAGCGTCTGTATTCCCCCCGCTCCAGCAGGTACTGCCTCCCCCTGTAGTTGGGCTGCTCGTAGAAGACCCAGGTGCCGTCCGTCACGCTGCAGGCCTGGATCTCGCGGGAGGGGAAGCAATCCTGCAGGTTGGGGCAGTCGTCCATGAACTCCATGGACTGACCCCCAAACTCGGGCCTCTCGAACGCCCTCATTTTGTGGACCCCACTCCTGGCCTGTGAAGAGAAGCCAAACAAAACGTCAGGAAGGGCGGGCGGGCGGGCGGGCGGGCGAGGGATTGGGTGGGTGGGAGGGTTAGCGGACAATCAACAACAACAACAACAACAGAGCCCTCCCTTCAGCGTCCCGAAGAGCTTAACAGTGGCAGAGCCCGAGCCCCGGGGCAGGCAGGAGGTGTTCGTAAAGGCAGACGCCACGTGGGGTAAAGAAGGAAGGGGGGCACGGAAATTCAGCCCACGCTGCTCTCCCTGTCACTGACTCCCTGACACACGCACACTCCCATTATTATTATATGGTTATTATTACTAATACAGGACGATATAACTACTCACCACACGGATGGAGCGACAGGATCTGATGCAGTCGTTAAAGCCCATCCAGCGACTGGAGTCCGGATACTCTCCCCTGGTTAACACATACATGTAGCCCATGAAGTTGGGGCGCTCGTAACACGCCCAGGTGCCGCTCTCCACACGGATGGAGTTACAGCGGGTGAAGTAAGTGTACATGTCAGGGCACTCGTTGGAGGAACACTCATAGTGTCGGCCTTGGAAGTTCCTCTCCTCGTAGAACACGATCTGGAACAGCAGAGAGAAGCTCAATGTCCACATCGCATCATAGAATCTTACAGCACAGAAGGAGGCCATTCGGCTCTTTGAAAGGAGCCCCCAACTAGTCCCACTCACTCCCCCCACTCCTACCCCCAAAGCCCTGCACGCTGTTCCTTTTCAAGTCCCCATCCAATTCCCTTTTGAAACCTACTATCGAATCTGCCTCCACCAGCCTTTCAGGCCGTGCAACAAGTCTCTGGGTAGAAAAATATCTCCTCGTCTGGTCTCCCATCTGGTTCTTTTGACAACTATCTTAATTCTGTGTCCTCCGGTTGCCCACCCGCCCGCCCGCCAGTGGGTAATAACCTCTCTCTCAAAAAGAAACCAAATAATAATATGGTCACTTAATCCACGACTGTTTGTGGGGACACTGCCGGGCGCAATTGGCTGCCCACAAAATACACAGTCACTCCACTTTACAGCGTATCCCGTGAAGCGCTTTGAATCGTCTCGACGCCGTGATAAGGCGCTGTGTCAAATGCAAGGATTGTTATTCGGATTGCGGTAGTAACATTTCAATGCTGCGAGGAGACACCTTCTCCCTTACCTTTCCCATTTTGCCTCGGATAGAATGCTGTCCTCCGACGACTGTGCTCCAGAGGAGGGTTATCAGGTTATATAAAGGCCCCACAATGAAAAGTGTGGATAAAGTGCTCTATTGATATTTAAATCGTGCTGGGGGGGAAATCAGCAAAAAAGGCAAATTGCTGATGTGTGTTTTGACGTTTAACACCCATTTACCATTTACTTTGTAACTGTGCTATGCAACGCAAATCATACCGCCTTCGCATGTCAGCGGTTCGCTTATTTCCTCAGCACGATAGCGCTGGAAACAGAAGTTGCCGGAAAAGAAAAATAATAATAATCCTCGCCTCATCGCCTCATCGAGACGTCTCAAAGCGCTTCGCAGTTAACACCGTAAAGCGAGTCGACTGCGTGTTGTGAGGGAGAAACAGGGCAGCAACGTCCCCACAAACAGTCGCGGATCGTGCAAGCAAATTATTATTATTATTTTTTCTTGGGAAGGGTATTATCCCCGGAAAAGCCATCCGCCAATCGAATAGCAACTGGGTTCCTACTTACTGCTGGGCAAACAGAGGCGCGTGCGTGTGTGCGTGCGTGTGTGGAGTAAGGAAACTTTTGCCTAACGTTTCACTCTGACCTGCCCGGGAATTGAACCCGAGTCCTCTCTCGCTTACGAGGTGAGGGGTCTCACCACTGAGCTGCAGGACTCCACGATGAGCTTTCTTGCGGTACACAACGTGCAAGTTGATGTCGCACCACTAGGTGTCGCTAGATAGTTAACAGATACTGCCCCATCGGCAAAGAATTCCAACTAACCATAAACCTGGCGTTGAAACAACGGTTCCTTATCATCTCAAAACCCTTGTAGGGTTAGTGACCATTGGTTTTGTTGGCGAACACAGCAGCCAATTTACGCACATCAACGTCCCACAAACAGCTGTGAAGCGAGAGACTGATCTGATTCGGGGGAATTGTTGGCCCGGACACTGGGGGTAAGAGACCCTCTCTACGGTCTGGAACCGATGGCCTGAAAGGCTGGTGGGAGCAGATTCGGAGGTAGCTTTCGAAAGGGAATTGGATAAGGGACTTGAAAAGGAAAGATGTGCAGGGCTTTGGGGGTAAGAAAGAAGATCGGGACGAGTTGGTTGCTCTTCCAAAGAACCAGCACAGGCACGATGATGATGATGATGATAATAATAATAATCCTCGCATTTGACACAGCGCCTGATCACGTCTTCGAGACGCCTCAAAGAATATACCCTACAGTGTAGTGACTGTGTGTTCTGTGGGCGAAACAGAGCAACCAATTGCGCACAGCAATGGGACGTCCTCCCGACGCGAAAGGCGCTCTATAAATATCATTTTGCTGTTGTTGTTGTTGTTGAACGGCCTCCTTCTGTGCTGTAAGATTCGATGATGGTGTGAAATGGCCCACCACTGTATTGGCCAAACTCACCAAAAGATAATAATAATAATCATAATAATAATAATAATAGCGCTTGAATGAATTCAATGCCACGTGGGCACGTTACTCCCTGGACAATAGTCAGGGTGGGTACAGGGCATGTGCGGGTACAATGGGTTTCATAGGCAGAACAGGTTTTTTTTTGTTGGAAATTACTTACTTTTTCTGCCCACGTCAACAGCACACGACAGACGCACTGAATGGGGATTTGCCGCGAACAAATGATAACACATCGGGAATTAATCGCTTCGTTATTATTATTTTTTTTGTGTGTGTGCGTGAAATTGGCAATAAAAGAAAAGAAGTTTCCAGAGAGAGAGAGAGAGAGAGAGAGATAGAGGAGCTGTTTAATATCTGCGTGCGTTGCCAATCACGCACTGCTGACTGATGGACTATGCCGTCGTGATGAATAGGGCTCCGTCAACGGCTAAACAATTCACAGAGTTTAAATAGAGTTGCCACACGCATCCTCGCCAACAAGGCTGGCACAGCACCAGACTATTGGGAACAGAACCCACAGCAGCAAACAGAGAATGGGAAAGGTGAGATGACGACGCTACGAACTCATAATATTACTGACGATAATCTTTGCATTTGGCCTCTCCAAGCGCTTCACAGGACACGCTGTCAAGCGACTTTGACTGTGGGTTTCGTTGGCGAAACACGGCGGTCGAGTGCGCACAGCGGCGTCCCCACAAACATTCGGGGATTGAGCGACCACATTATCGTTCTTCTTTTTTTTTTGGAGGGTAAGAGAGTCTTTATCTCAACCCCCCCCGTCATCTTCCGTTATGTGGAGAGAAACTGGGATTGTTCTACTAAGAGCAGAGAGGTTAAAGGGAGACTTCATAGAGGCGTTTGAAATGATGAAGGGCGTTTGATAGAGTAGATAGGGAGAAATTGTTTCCTCTGGTATGTGGATGGGACGTTAACCAGAGGACACACATTATTTAAGATAATTGGCAAAAGAACCAGATGGGAGACCAGACGAGGAGATATTTTTCTACCCAGAGACTTGTTGCACGGCCTGAAAGGCTGGTGGGGGCAGATTCGATAGGTTTTAAAAGGGAATTGGATGGGGGACTTGAAAAGGAACAGCGTGCAGGGCTTTGGGGGTAGGAGTGGGGGGGAGTGAGTGGGACTAGTTGGGGGCTCCTTTCAAAGAGCCGAATGGCCTCCTTCTGTGCTGTAAGATTCTATGATGCGATGTGGACATTGTGCTTCTCTCTGCTGTTCCAGATCGTGTTCTACGAGGAGAGGAACTTCCAAGGCCGACACTATGAGTGTTCCTCCAACGAGTGCCCCGACATGTACACTTACTTCACCCGCTGTAACTCCATCCGTGTGGAGAGCGGCACCTGGGCGTGTTACGAGCGCTCCAACTTCATGGGCTACATGTATGTGTTAACCAGGGGAGAGTATCCGGACTCCAGTCGCTGGATGGGCTTTAACGACTGCATCAGATCCTGTCGCTCCATCCGTGTGGTGAGTAGTTATATCGTCCTGTATTAGTAATAATAACCATATAATAATAATATTATTAATAATATAATAATATACCTATAATAACAATATTATTAATAATATATTAAAATTATTTACAACAGTAATAAACGCGGCAGCCAATTGCGCACAGCAGCGTCCCCACAAACAGCCGTGGATTGAGTGACCAAATATTTTTGTGGAGAGGGATTATAACCCCCCCCTACCGCTGCTGGTAAACAGAGGCGTGTGCGTGTGTGTGTGTGTGGGGGGGGAGTAAGGAAACTTGCCTAAGGTTTCGCCCTGACCCGACCCGCCCGGGAATCGAACCCGTGTCCTCTGGCTTGCGAGGCGAGGGGTCTAACCAAAACCCGAGGTGCCATGTGCGTGTGTCCAGGGAGTCAGTGACAGGGAGAGCAGCGTGGGCTGAATTTCCGTGCCCCCCTTCCTTCTTTACCCCACGTGATGTCTGCCTTTACGGACACCTCCTCCCTGCCCCGGGGCTCGGGCTCCGCCACTGTTAAGCTCTTCGGGACGCTGAAGGGAGGGCTCTGTTGTTGTTGTTGTTGTTGATTGTCCGCTAACCCTCCCACCCACCCAATCCCTCGCCCGCCCGCCCGCCCTTCCTGACGTTTTGTTTGGCTTCTCTTCACAGGCCAGGAGTGGGGTCCACAAAATGAGGGCGTTCGAGAGGCCCGAGTTCGGGGGTCAGTCCGTGGAGTTCATGGACGACTGCCCCAACCTGCAGGATTGCTTCCCCTCCCGCGAGATCCAGGCCTGCAGCGTGACGGACGGCACCTGGGTCTTCTATGAGCAGCCCAACTACAGGGGGAGGCAGTACCTGCTGGAGCGGGGGGAATACAGACGCTACACTGACTGGGGAGCCCCCAACCCCAGGGTTGGTTCCTTCCGCCGGGTCCTGGAAGATTAAACTCCAACCCCCCCCACCACCCCAGCCCCCGCCCGCCCGTGTGTGTGTATTACTCTCAGCCCCGCACACACACACTCTCAGCGGCAAATATAACCCAATAAATCCAACAGACTAAACAATACCCTTTTCCTGTTTCTTTCTTTCTTACTTTCTTACTTTTCTCGCAAAGTGGTTTGAGGAAAGGTCCCGTTTGATACATTGTCCTAAGACCCAAAAAGGTCTCCCATTTCAATGGCTCGTTGGCTCAAAGCAGCTCCTAGGAAATGATCAGGTCATAGAAGATCACAAGGTGGGTTCGGGATAAAGAAAGCCCTTTGGCCAACCCCATCTCATCGCCTCCGCAACACCCGCCCTCCCCTAGACTGTGAGCTCAAAGCCCTGACCTTGTTCTTGAAACCACAACTTCGTCACGACAACAACAAGTTGCATTTGTCAAGCGCCCTTTACGTGGGGTAGTGTCCCGGGGCGCTTAAAACGCAAGGAGGCTTCCGCGAAGCGGGATAGACACGGAGATGGACATCGAGGACACATCAAAGCACTTGGAGAAGTGAAAGAAGCCAAGGAGGAAATTGAATCAGAAGGTATTCCGTTAAACTCACAAAATGGCTTAACCCGCAGAACACGATTAATTCCAATGTATTTTTTCCTCCCCAATAGCGTAATAAACGGTGTCACTTCTGCTAATATATTTTTCCACCCGCAAACACTACTTTCAAAATCAATGGGAATGGAACCGTTGGCCAATTACAGAGACCTCTCAATCACACGGAGAGATATTAGCAGCACAAGCATTCCAAAGCCAGGGTGCGACTGCACTGAAAGCCACAACCTCCCCAGCATCGCCCTGATCAGCCTTAATGATAGATGTCGGAAGGGGAATTGAGGGAGTTCCAGAGGGTTGGGACGTGGCCACCGAGAGCACTGCCGATGATGGTGGAGCGGAGGAGGAGGGGGGATGAGGGATGTGTTGGAGGCCCCAAGCTGGGGGGGGGTTGGGTGACGTGGCCAAGAAGAATGGGACGTGTAGGTGGTTCAGACAGGTAAGTATGGAGTTCCCAGGGTGTGAAGTGATTCATGGGTTCTATCAGATCTACATCTGCTGCGGTGTTCCAGTTTGACTGGCAACACAAAGCCTTGGCTATGTGTCAGCGCGAGTTTCCAGCCGGTCTTTCCACTCCGAGTCCGACAAAATACAATCTGACCACACCCGCCTGCTTCCAGCTGACCAGCCCAGCTTTCAACTCAACCTTTAAGTCAACTCTTAACTTAGCCTTTATCTCTTGCCAGACAGCTCTCTCTCTCTCTCTCTCTCGCTCAGTGGCCAAGCTATACGGGTTTAGCTGGTTAGACTCCAGCAGTCACTCCCAACGCGCTCTCTGGGCTCCCTCCCCCCCCACCACCCCACTCCACCCCTACAAGCCTCGGATCACAAGATCACAAGTGATCAGCGCGATTATTGTGGTTATTATTAAAAATCAACATGAGTTTCTCCTGCTGTCGTGGCTAACCATCGAATCTCGCCCACGACTATAGTCAGTTCACTTGACGGTCTATTCTGCGAAGCGCTTTGAGACGTCTGGAAGACCGTGAAAAGCGCTGTATCGAATGCAAGGACTATTATTATTATTATTATCTTCACCCCGCCAACAGAACCGATGGCTGCGCATAAATCGGCTGCCACTGTTCGCCCACAAAATCAAGTGCCCGTGCGGAGCTTTGAGACATCTTCTTGGCGCGATCGAGCGCTCGATTAAACGCGAAGATTTTTACTGTCATAAAACTAAGCAGGTTTTCTAACCTCGTTTGATGTGATTTGAATCGCGCACAGGGAAATGCAGTGGGAGCTCGTGTCAGCGACGCAGATGAATGTATTTATATTACGCATTTGAATCATCAGATCTTGAAACGTTAATATATGCGCCTGAAACCAAGTTCAAGCGCATAGTGTAACACAACAATAATATTAATAATAATAATAATAATCCTTGCGTTTGGCGCAGCACCTTTCATGTCGGGAGGACGTCTCAAAGCGCTTCGCACGATTTTGCTGTGAGGCGTTAGTGACTGTGTGTTTTTGTAGGCAAAAGCCAAACACGCAATCGGACCACTTGACAGTAAATCCATGATTAATTATTGTTATGATGATGATTCAATCCTGTGCCTCAATCCGAGCAATCTGCCAATCTGCACTTAAAGCCAAATGAGCCAAAGTGCGCATTTGCGACGGATTCTTTCGAAGCAATTACTTTGCAGTGAAATCCAGCCCAGGAGGTCCAATTTTGCACCGATGTCACGCTAAGTTACATAAAATATTATGCAATATAACATGAAGTACAAAAACCGCTTACATTTGGTGGGTTTGACGCAAATATACACTCAGCAGATTAAGTGTTGATGCATTTCAAATAAATATAACATAATGCAATGAAACACAGCCTGTAAACCTTCCCTCACGCTTACAATAAGTCCAATAAATCCTTCCCAACAATTAAATTAATAAAAGTGAAGACCTTCCTCTTCGACCGAGCCTGGGGTCAGTGAGTGAGAAGGGAGGGGAAGGGAAGGGGGGGGGGTGGCCGATGGCATGGTCGAAAAGGAGAGCCCAATAATCCTTGGGCTAATGGTTTCACCAGATGATCCAGTATCTCACAGTGTCCAACTGTGTCTAACAATGTCCCAAACCTCTTTTCCCATTTCTTTAGTTCTTTTACACCCCAACGTTCGGACACGCGGTGATGAAATAAGGAGGTGTAGTCAGAGGCCATTCGACCCAATCAAAGCCAACAGATCGTCTCAGAGCCCTTCGCAGGCTGCACTGTAAAGGGAAAGGGCTGTGCCTTTTGTGGGCAAGAGATGGTTTTCTTGGTAAGGAACTTCCTTCTCCGCTCGAGGAAGGTTTAGCATTTGTTCAGCGCACATAATGCAAAGTAAGATGGCCTCAAATTCAAATGCTTGCCTCCATTTGCCAACCTGCTTTGCATGTTGGAGTAGCAAAGCCATTAACCCGACATCTCCAATGCATTTGCATCTTGCAAACCTCCTCAATTCTCATGGCTTGTGGTCGACCATAACGTGATGAGGAGGCAACGCTCTTAATAATAATAATCTTTGCATTTGATATAGCGCTTTTCACGTCGGGAGGACGTCCCAAAGCGCTTCACAGAACACACTGTAAAGTGAATTGACTGTATATTTGTGGGCGAACGCGGCAGCCAATTGCGCACAGCAATGTCCCACAAACAGTCGTGGATTGAAAATGACCAATTTTTAATTATTGTTTTTGGTTTTGGAGGGATTATTATTAGGCTCTGTGTGGAGTAAGGAAACTTGCCCAAGGTTTCGCCCTCTGCCGGGAATTGAACTCAGGTCTCTCACTTGCAAAGCGAGTGCTCTAACCACTGAGCTACAGGACTCCACAGGTTAGAGCCCTCGCCTCGCAAGCGAGACACCTGGGTTCCATTCCCGGGCGAGTCGGGTCAGGGTGAAGCATTGGGCAAGTTTCCTTACTCCGCCCCACACATACACACCCACCCACCCACCCACCCACACACACACACCCACACACGTGCCTCTGTGCACCCAGCAGTAACCCGGTTATTAGTGGATGGCTTTTCCTGGGGTAATAATCCCTTCAAAATAAATAACGACAACAAATTGGTCGCTGAGTCCACGGCTGTTTGTGTGGACGCTGCTGGGCGCAAATGGCTGCCGCGTTCTGCCCGCAAACTACGCGGTCACTACACTCCGCAGCGTATCTTGCCAAGCGCTTTGAGATGTATCACCAGCAGCGTAACCGTGTGCTCTGTCCAACGCGAGGATTATCGCCTTGTGAGACAGGCTCTATGGGTTCCGAGTGGGTCCCGAGGTGGGGCTTGAACCCAGAATCCTCTGACTCGGCGAGTGAGAGAGAGAGAGAGAGAGAGAGCGAGGGAGAGAGAGAGAGAGAGAGCGCTACTGACGGAGCCAGGCTGGGGGCTGACACACATTTTGCAAAAGCATCTCCAGCTGAGCAAACAGGAAGTGCACGTGACGAAGGCAATACTTTGCTTAAGACCAACCATTGTGTGTGCGATCTCTTGTCACTGCGGACAAAACCATTAACCCTCTGTGACACGACTCTAGTGCTGCAACACAGGCCGATACCATGTTAAAATAAACCCTTGCACCTGCTATGGCGCCTTAACACCTCGTTACCCAAACGTCTCAAAGCGCACGGCTTCGAGTCTCCCAGCAAGCGAGTTCTCTGGAGGCAATTCGGGTCTCGTGCTGCAGATGAGACGTGAGACCCAGCTCCCACTCTGTGCCCTGTTCCGGTGGACGGACGTTAAATATCTCCCAGTTGCTGCTAATCAAAGAGAGGTCCCTTTTGAAGCCCTCCACGGTCTTTCTCCTCCCTCCTTCTTCGGGGAGTCGCTAAGATCTTACCAACCCATCGGTGGGCGGGCCTTCAGCCTCTCTGCCCCCAACCCTTTGGAACTCCATCCCACCTTCTCTCCGCCTCCCTCGCCCCCTCAAGGCTCGTCTCAAGACCCTCCTCTTCGACTGTGCCTCCGGTCACCCTCCTATCCCTGCCCTCCACCATCTCCTGATCCCAACCCCCAACTCGGGTCCAAGTCCTTGGGCTGTCCTCCCGACGTGAAAGGCTCCGTAGGTGACTGTCACGTGTTGTTGTCGATTGGTTGAAGCTTTTTCCTGGAGACGGCTTTTCCTCCAAGAAAAAGCCCGTTTGAGAACTGAACGGTCGGCTAATGATATTATTAATAATAATGATAATCCTTGCATTTGATGCAGTGCCTTAACCACGTCTTTGAGACGTCAGCTGTCGCCAAAGGCCGAAGAGGGCTCAACTGAAATATTAATCAGCTCTCTCACTCTCGCTCAGACTTCCTGACCGTATTCCTGTCGGTTTGACACTCACATCCCTTCCCTTTCCTTCCGACTCCTTTCACAAACTTGTCGTAGAATCGCACACAGCGATACAGCTTCCAAACAGCCCTTCTGTCCAACTGGTCCATGAGAATCCACGTGCATTCATTTATCCACATTAATAATAATAATAACAATAATCCCTGCATTTGACTCAGTGCCTTTTCACGCCTTCGAGACGTCTCAAAGCGCTTCACGGGATACACTGTGAAGTAGAGTGACTGTGTATTTTGTCGGCGAAACGCGGCAGCCAATTGCGCCCGGCGACGTCCCCAAAAGCAGTCGTGGGTTGAGTGCGGATATTTTTGAGTCTATGTTGAATGTGACGCCTCTTTATCCCCTTCTCCCTCCAGAAGGCGTCATTTGCTCTTCAGTACTTTTAACGTCATTTGTTTCACCCACAGCTTCCGGCAGTAAGTTCCACATTCTTACCACCCTCTGCGTCAAGAAGTTTCTCCTAAAGGCGCTATCAGACCTCCTAATAGGAGTCCCCGTAGCTCAGGGGTTAGAGCCCTCGGCCTCACAAGCGAGAGGACCCGGGTTCGATTCCCGGGCGGGTCAGGACAGGGCGAAACCTTAGGCAAGTTTCCTTACTCCCCCCCACACACACACACACACACACACGCACGCGCCTGTGTTTACCGGCAGTCAGTAGGAACCCGGTTGTTAGTCGATTGGCGGATGGCTTTTCCGGGGGTAATAATTCCTTCAAAAAAGGTTTTAAAGAAATAATAATTTGGCCGCTTCAACCCACGACTGTTTGTGGGGACGCTGCCGGGGCCCAATTGGCTGCCGTGTTTCTCCCGCAAAAATCCCTATGCTTTACAGTGTGTTCCGTGAAGCGCTTTGAGGGGTCTCGACGGGGAGCTGGTGGGGCGGGGAGGTGTGGGGGGGGGTTGGCTCGATCCCACCCTCTCTTGTGACCGAAGCGAGCGAGAGGGAGAGCGAGAGCGAGAGGGAGAGCGAGAGCGAGAGGGAGAGCGAGAGCGAGAGGGAGAGCGATAGCGATTGAGCCAAAGAGCCACTTAGTAAAGAGGATGTTTTGTTTCTGGAGAGAGCAAAGGGTTAACGAGTTTGGCTGCCGTTTTCATTTTGAAAGTGTGCATTTCCTTCTCTTGGCTTTTTGGCCGTACTTTATTGCAGGGGGCGGGCGGGCGGGCGTGGGGAGGGTGTTGGTGTGGGGTGGGGGGGGTGGGGGGTGGAATGGCGGGGGGGATGGTGTTGTGGTTGGCAAGAAGAGAACCGAACGGGAGGGGAAGAGAGAGAGAGAGAGAGAGGAGGGTGTGCGTGTCTGTGTGTGTGTGTAAGTCTGTCTGTGGGTGTGTCTGTGTCTCTGTGTGCGTGTCTGTCTGTGTGTATGTCTGTCTGTGTGTATGTGTGTGTGTCTGTCTGTCTGTCTGTCTGTATGTCTGTGGGTGTTTGTGGGTGTCTGTGTGTTTGTGTCTGTCTGTCTGTGTGTGTGTCTGTGTGTGTGGGTGTCTGTGTGTGTGTGGGGGGGGGTGTCTGTGTGTGGGGTGTGTGTGTGCGCAAACGTCAACTGGAGACTATTCCGGCGAATATACAGCTCATTTGCACACAATTCGATTCCCGTGACAATCAAATGGGAGACCACCACCACCACCACCACCGCAGCAGCAGCAGCAGCAACAAATGACACTCACGCAGTGCCTCTCACGTCAGGAGGACGTCCCGAGGCACGGGACAGTCAGGGATGTTTGACCCGAGCTGGGGTTTGGGATCAGGAGGTGGTGGGTGGGGTGGGGTGGGGGGGCGTGTGGAGGTGCTGTGTGGGGTGAGGGCAGGGGAAGGGGAGGGTGAGGGGTAGGAGGGCGATTGAAGGCACGGTCGAAGAGGAGGGTGTTGAGACGTGCTGTGAAGGAGGCGAGGGAGGGAGTGTCGGTTTTGTTGATGTCATGAGTTGCTCTGTCTCTGGTTAGAGGAAGGTGTGTCCTCTTCGATATTGGCTTCGCTCCAGTGCTGAGTGCAGTGAGAGAGAGAGAGAGAGAGAAATCAAGTTTGCGGAGAGAGAGAGAGAGAGAGAGAGATGTGATCTGCGATCTGCCACTTTGGCATTTGGTGACCGGAGGAGAGGGAGACAAGACGACAGAACCGGGAGCTTGGGGTAAGCATGGGATCTGGGTTTGGATTGGGCTGCTGCTCCTGACCGGCTCGGGTGACTATGTTCACTGGTCTTTCAACATGCAAAACATATGTTTGTCTGTGTATGTGCACGCGTACGTGTGTGTGCGTGCGTGTGTGTGTGTGTGTGTGTGTGGGAAGAGAATGAGAGAGAACGAGAGAGAGAGACACACACTCTCTCACACACTCTCTCACGCACTCTCACGCACACACAGGCAATTTAACCAGATTTGGAGTTTCAACACAGCTTTAGGAAGTGCGTCCGTGTGTGAGTGTGTGTGAGTGTGTGAGTGTGTGTGTGTGTGGTGTGTGTGGTGAGTGTGTGTGTGGGTGAACTTTGGCAGAACTGGAACTACGGGAGAGATGGTCAAATGAAAAGCGTTTGAGGTTTACCCATTTGTTGGAACGTATAGCCTGTGTGTGTGTGTGTGTGTGTGTGTGTGTGTGTGAGTTTCTCACTCTTTCTCTCTCTCTCGCTCTCTCTCTCTCTCGCTCTCTCTCGATCTCAATCCAGCCTTGCTTTTCCCGCTTTCCCTTTTCCCAGCCCCGGTCGAGACCCCGATTGCCCAGCGCCTCGGGACGTCCTCCCGACCCGAAAGGGGCTGCACAAAGCGAACGCGGCCGTCGTTGTTAAAACTTGACATCTGTCCCCAAAGCGAACCGTTCCAGCTATTCACTGAACGCCTGCGGCAGATGTGTTTTGCTGGACCTGCGCTAACAGCTCTTACTGCTCCTCTCCGAACCTCCTCCACGCGTTCAGACATTAAGAGTCTTTTATTTGTTGCTCCTCAAGCTGGCAGTCTTGATGGCTTTTCCGTGGCTTGGAGCCAGAACTCTGCATATTCAATATTTTCCATTCTGCCCTACATTCATGTCCTGGTCAATAATTTAGTGCGAGTTAAAATCTTATATGTGCTACACTGACTGAGGATGTGCCTAACCAAACAGAGGCGCTTTGCCCGGTTCAAACGCCTCGTCGAAAGGTCTCGAAGCACTGTACCTGAGTCGTCGGCAGGTGTAGTGACTGTGGTTTTTAATATAATAAGGCCACGGGTTGAATATTCGAGAAAAAAAATCTCTCTTCTCTTTTCTGCTAAGGTTACGGGATCTTTTATACTAATGGTAATGATAATAATAATAATAATAATAATATTGACGCTCGCGTTCGATACGGCAGCTTTGGCGCCGGGAGGACGTCTCAAAGTGCTTCACGGGATTTACTGTAAAGTGTAGTGACTGTGCCGATTTGTGCACAGCGACGTCCCCCCACCTTGTAGAAGGGACTATTCGCGCTCTCTCTCTCTCTCGGGCTGACAGTCACTTCAAGGTTGTTCCTGGATGCAAATTGGTTGCTGCATTTGCCCCCAAGGTACACACAGTCACTAGACTTCACAGTGAAATCTGGGCGTGAGAGCTTTGTGAGAACAACTGCAACGATGTGGGTGTATAATAGTGGCCTTCCCACCGGACGGTGTCTCGAGAGCGCGATGTAAACCTGGATATGAACGGCGCAATATCAAATGCAAGGATTGTTAATTATTATTCATCCTCATCATCATAATAATCATAATAATAATAATAATAACAGGTTCTAAATTCGAAGCTACTTTTTAACTGGGTTCCTTTGACGATAATACGCCTTCCCCCATCGTCGAGATGGTGTCTCACAGGATATGCTGTAAAGTATAGTGAGTGCTATTTTGCGGGCAAACACACCAGCCAGTTTGTGCGTAGGGGGATGTCCCTGCCACCACCACCACAACAACAACAACAGCAACAGCAACAACAACAACAACAAAATTACACTTGTAAAGAGTCGGGGGAAATCCCAAGGCGCTGGACAGACAGAGTCATGGACCCGAACTGGGCAATCGGGGTCGGGGAGGGTGGCGGGCGGTGGGGTGGGGGGGATGCAGGCAGATCAAAAGCACGGTCGAAGAGGAGGGTCTTGAGATGGGGTCTTGAAGGTGGCAAGTGGGGGGGGGTGGGAGGGGGGCGGCGAGACTGAGGGATGGCGTTCCAGAGCTCTCTTTAACGTACTTGAGATGCCTTAGGGACGGACGTGATAAGGCAAGCTTTCCCGCTGCTTGTCCAGCTGGGACCACCCTACCGGTTAGGGCTTTGGCTACAGGGTTAACAGGAGCAATGCCCAGGGACATCCTCTGGCTGTGGAAGGTGCTTCATAGATGTAAATTTGTTGTTGTTTGTTTGTTTGTTTGTTGTTGTTTACCTGGACAGGGGAGTGAGGTTTACCGTCTCATTAAAAGGTTGTCATCTCCGACAACGTAGCACTCCTCCGCACCCCCCCCCACCCCACACACACACCCACCCACCCCAGCACCGCGCTGGAGTGTCGCTGGAGGGATGATAATCCCAGTAGTGTTCACGGCGTTCCCACGGGAAGGCAATCCGCTTCGCAATTAGCAATCAGATCGCACTGAAGCAGAGCTCCCCGTGTGTCAGCATCGCATACGTAGCGGGTAATCATTCCTCCCTCCCCCCAAAATAATAATAAAAATAATTAATAACTCGGTCACTCGATCCACCACTGTTTGGTGGGACGTTGCTGAGAGCAATTGGCTGCCGTCTTTCGCCCACGAAATGCACAG